CGTAAGCAACAAATGGTTTATCTGCCATACGAAAGAGACTTCAATGAAAGACCAACAAAGGCAAGACCTATTCAAATGAATCAAGAACTCCCAAAGCATTGTCAAAAGGAGATAGATGACTTATAATAAAAAAAGATCAGTCCAACTCATTCATCATGTAGTTGTCTAGCATTTTACATCAACAAACAATAAAAAATTGAAAGAGGGGTGTCAAAATTGGTGGTTAACTATAAGGCACTAAATAAAGTGCTCAAATGGATTCGCTACCAGATTCCAAACACATAGGATCTTCTTTAACTGCTATACTTAGAAAAAAATTCTCAAAGTTTGACATGAAATCAAAGTTCTGGCAAATCTTGATTCACCCTTTAGATAGATATAAAACAGCATTCACTGTGCCTTTTGAACACTATGAATGGAATGTCATGCCCTTTGGACTCAAAATGCCTCTTCAAAATTCCAGAGGATTATGAATGAAATCTTCAATTCCTATTCTATCTTTATCATCGTCTATATTGATGATATTTTAGTCTTCTCAGAAAACATTAACCAACATTTTAAACACTTAAACACCTGCTTTCATATATCCAAGAAAAACGGCCTTGTAGTCTCTCAAAAGAAAATCAGCCTTTTTCAAACAAAAATTAGGTTTCTTAGCCATTATATGTATCAAGGAACCATTACCCCAATCGAAAAGTCAATCCAGTTTGCAGATAAATTCCTTGATCAAATCCTTGATAAACAACAACTCCAAAGATTCTTGGGTTGTTTAAACTATGTTGCAGACTTTATCCTTAACTTTAATAATGTAAATAAACCCAATTTGAGGCATTCCTTGCCTTGCACTTCTTGATCCTTCAACTCCAAAAATAGTTGAAACAGATGCTTCTAATATTGGATATGGAGGCATTCTTAAACAAGTCAAAACTATAAAAGAAAAAATCATTCAAACACTGGAATAGTTCTCAACAGAATTATTCTACTGTTAAAAAAGTAATTTTAACAATTGCATTATGTGTTTCAAAATTTCAAGTTGATCTGTCAAATTCAAAGTTTTTAATGAGAGTGAACTGCAAGTCTGCCAAATATGTTTTACAAAAAGATGTTGAAAACCTTCCTTTCAAACAAAATTTTGCCAGATGGCAGGCAATCTTATCTATTTTTATTTTGATATTGAATATGTTAAAGGAGCTTCCAACTCTTTTCCTGATTATCTAACTTGTGTAGAAGATAATGCCAAAAAGAAGAAGCAATAGCAGCAGGCTCTAGAGGCCCAAGAAACCCCAATTGATAAACCCATCAAATTTGATTCAAACTCTCCAACCTCATCTCAAACATCCAGAAAGGTCAAAAAACAACACAACTGTACCATTCCCAATTGACCCAAACCCTTTCCAACCAATAACCTCAATACAGCCCTTGTCCGTTCTTTCACTAAAGACAGGGGCCGATGCTGTTGAAGAAAAAACAAAAACACTCTCCTATTTGGACCTCAAACAATGGCTGTTAGCTATAGGTTATATTCAATCAAGGTTGCTAGAAATAATCAAAACCATACTCCAAATACAAATAACCAATTAGCGCTATAAAAACCCAAATAGATGGCCCAACAAAAACTGCCTAAACTTTCCAAACCAACTACTCCTAGTAAATACTTCAAAACAATCTCTTTTATAGCCCTTATTTAAACTGAACTAGATCTTGTACAAAATAACACAAATGAATTTGCCAAATCTATCTTTCCTCCAGACCATTATTTTGTACTCAACATTGTCCAAAACTCTAGAATATTACAAAATGATCTTGACATACTCCCAATATGTAACCTTTAAACTCTATATCAAAGAATTGGAAGGCACAAATGGTAATCCCATAGGAAAAGAGATTAGCACTCATTCTTGTGCACAAATTTTCAAAGTCCATAGACCCTTTGAAAGGGGGATTAATCTAAGTAGACCCAAATCATTCACAATCCCTTTTAACCCTCCAAGATACACTTACTGGGATCACAAGGCTACTTAGTTTCATTCCTTTTCATTCCAAAATGAAATAAACCAACATTCATACCTATTCTATTTTATGAAAACAAACAAGTACAATTTTTCTGCCTAGTTCATAACTTGGTGGAATACACACGGATCAAACCTGCAAATTCTTTCACCTGATGTAAATAAGGGATACCAACTTTTTGAACAAATATTTGAACCCCCAAACAATTACATTCCCATAAGCCTGCACTGCTTCTCAACCTTTTCAGTTGCATGGGTATACTAGTGGAAGCATGAATTCCTCCTATTCCTCCAATAGGCCTAGTTTCCTTCACTCTCTATTCGACATAGGTATAGAAAATGGTGCCCAGCTTTCACGATGGATTTCATTCAGCTATCAAACCTCCAAACTTGGTTCCAATGGAATCCAAAAGCAATCAAACTGGGAGATCCACACACAAGTCCGTTTTTGTAGCAAAAGTCTTTATTAATGGCAAAGCTAGCCTCAATCACGGACAAACAAGAATATGTCCAACAACTCTAACAAATCCTTTCCCAACTCCAATTGGAAGAAAAATAAAGATGTCATCATCCAAGCAAGAGTTAGAGTCCTTAGACTCAAAAGAAAGTTTTGACGAACTACAGCAGAACAAAGACGATTGTGAAAGAATTTTCTCGCAAATTCCTTAAATTTTGTAAAATAAAACATATTGTAAACAATATAACCAGAAATACTATAGCAATCTAGTAGTTACTCTACAAACATAGCAAGTAAAAAATGCACTATACACTGTAGTGCCATTATAACAAAAGCAGTGTACAATGTGCACTTGTAGCAAAAGTAGCACATATTGTAGCAGAATGAAAATTCTGCTATAAATACCCCTCAAATTTATCATTAAGCACATATCAAGTTTTCAGCACTTTCCCTCTCTAGAAACTTCCCCCTTTCTAGAAACGAATTCTCTTAGTTTTAGGAGCACTAGCTTAAATTGAAGGTTCAAGCTCCAAACAATTGGAAGTTTCTTATCTTTTCAATAGACTTCAATCTTTATATTCTTGTTTGTCTTATGGTTGGCTAAGCCACCTATCTTTTACTTCTTTTTGTATTTACTTCATTTAATTACTTTAATTTTATGGTTGGTTCAATTGCCTAAATCTCTTTCCCAGAGGCAATCTGCATGTGATCCTTTTCCCATATCTTCAATTTCATTCTTGAGCTTTTAGCAAGTCTCTCTCCCGTCTAGATTGAGTTTGGATAATAGAAAACTAGATCTTATCTAAATCCATGATTCTTTTATAAGATTTGGGTTTGGGTAGGGTTTGGATTTGAGAAATTAAATCGAAACCTTATTTGATTATATTGGGTTTGGATTAAATTTGGGTAAGACCCGATACATTGACATGCTTATTCTCATACCTTCCAAAAAGTGCGCTTCCCACTTCACGCCTTTATGACTCGACACAACTCCATTTCCAAAATTCACTAAAATAACAGTTGCTACACCATGACATAAAACAATAGCCATGATCCATCCTTGTATGTATCATGTTTTGGGGTCAACTACTTGAAGTTTGCTAAAACCAAAACCAAAAAATTTTGGTGGTGGCCATCTTTAATAAGTAGTCACGGATGGAATTTCGTTGCATCAATTAGTTTAATATTTTCTTTTTCTTTTTTGTTTTAAGAATTTTACAATCTATATAATACTCGTAACCAAGACTAAGTTGCTGCCAATGTTGTATGTAGAGCGAAGGATTGGAATAGAAGTGCTAGGGGATTTGGGTCACTCGAGAAGAGGCAGAACCAAGATGGGATGGCGATATCTCAAGGTTTGGGGTCTATTAAGAATTTAGCACAATTAAGGGGCTAATTTTGTAATATGTAAACAACAGGCTAAACATGCTACCGTGATTTTAAAAATCATACGTTACTCGATCAGAATATTGGGGTTTTAATAAGGATGGCAATGGGGGCGGGTGCCTGCGGAGGTAGAAATGGGGCGGGGTGGGGCGGGGACAAATATTTCCTCCCGCCTTAAAACGGGGCGGGGGGTGGGGAAACATACACCCGCCCATCCCCCGCCCCGTCCCCCACATACAATAAATAATATATATATATATATAAAATACAATCCTAAATTTTCTAAAGTTGCACCCTTACTTACAAGTACAATGCTAGTCAGTGTCAATGGCCGCCGCAACAATTGAAGAAATTTCTTGGAATATTGTTGATTTGTTTTTAACGCGCCCCCCCCCCCCCCAAAAGACCAATTCCAACCTATTTTGCTCCTAACCCTTTTTTATTTCGATCGGTTCCCTTCCTCCACACTGAATGTAACTTGACTTGTTATACTTTATTTTCATCTTAACATGGGGGCGGAGGGGTGGGGAAACATACACCTGCCCCATCCCCCGCATACAATAAAAAAAAAAAAAATATATATATATATATATATAAAATACAATGTTAAATTTTTTAAAGTTGCACCCTTACTTACAAGTACAACGCTAGTCAGTATCAATGGTCGCCTCAACAACTGAAGAAATTTCTTGGACTATTGTTGATTTGTTTCTAACGCCCTCCAAAGACTAAACTATCCAATTCCAACCTATTTTGCTCCTAACCCTTTTTTATTTCGATCGGTTCTCTTCCTCCGCACTGAATGTAATTTGACTTGTTATACTTTATTTCTATCTTAACAGCCTTTTAATCTTATTTAACATTGTTTACAATTGTATTATTATAAATAAACACTTATGATAAGTTAATTTCTTATCCCCCGCGGGAGAAACGGGGTGGGGACTGGGCGGGGGATGGGACGGGGGACGGGGGGAGTTATTTGACGACGGGGCACGGGGTGGCGGAAGGATCTCCGCCCCAACCCCGCCCCATTGCCACCCCAGGTTTTAACAAGGGTTTATTCTTTAACTACCCTTTTAAACCGGAAACTTTTTAACCAATCACACGCGCTCACGCACTCAACGAGTCACAAAACACCTCCACGGTCGCCCATTCATCCATCCCAGTAAAAATCGTCAAAACCCTCTTCAAAACCCCTTCAGTCCCCTCCGCTCGCGCTCAGAGAGGACAAAACTATGTCGTATATACCTTCTTATTTCCTAGTTAATTTTTGAGCGACTTCAGCAATTTCCGGAACAATAAACTTTTGCAGTAAAATAGATTCGACTAATCTTTTATCTGCACTATTAATTCCTTTTTTTTATTTTGCTTGCAATAGAATTTTCTTTTTCATACTTTTCCAAGTAAATGGCAACGAGGGTTGTTCTCAGATTGATCAAAGAAGCTGTTTCCAGCAATGGTAGAAGCAAGCCAAACTTTGATTTTGCTAAGCGACGTCGTTTCTGCACCTCCACTCCTCCTCCACCTCCACCACCACCGCCGGCTCGTAAAATCCCTTATTCTTCCAAAAAAGTAAGTATCTTTTTTACTAGATTGTTTTTATTGTAAATTGTTATTAATTTAACCTTTTTTTGGGTGTTATGAACCCATAATGGAGGTGACCCAAGCGAGTAGTTTTTCCGTTACCAAAATAAGGGTTATCATTTTTTTTTTTGGGTTTTACATGTCCCGGGTTTTCTCTTTTATTGTAAATGTTTTGTACAATTAATTAATTGGAGATTGTGGTACTCTTAAGAATAGTTTAACAGCTAAACCAAGTTGGAAATTGTCTCAAAAATTGAAACTTCATCGATTATTACTTTTGTTATTTGTATCTGTATGACATATGTCTTGTATCGGTTTATTTCATTCATACTATTGTTTTGATTTTAGTGAATGTGGTTCAAGTATATATAAAATATAGTTAATTTTTCTATATTTGGCCTTGATAAAATGTAGGGGAGATTATTTACTGGAGCTACTATTGCTCTACTTATTGGTGGAGGTGCCTATGCGAGTACAGTGGACGAAGCTACTTTCTGGTACTAAATTTCTGTTTCCTAAAGTTGACTCAAAACTTTTCAGTAAATGAGTGCATGAATAATTTCAGTGAAGTGCTCAAAGACAATGACCTTTTATTCCTGAGAATAGGTTGCTGGTACTTTGTTTATGTGATTGTAGTTCATTAATAGGTCTGATGCAGTAGTATTAGCGGCTATTACGTTAATAAATGCGGGAGCATGCTGGATACTTTAGAAGTACGAGTTCACTTCTTCAGTCTTCTTAGAAGATTGTAGTATTTGGAAATTGGTTAGGGATTCAGTTTTGAAAAGTTTGCAAGCTATTACTAATCTTGTTTTGGATCAAAGCCCACAAATGTGGTGAAGTTATTATGTCACTATCTAGATAATGCTTGTAACATAATTGGCTCTATGTAGTATGGCATGTGACACGTGTCCAAAAGCAGTTTTCTGATGGCATCTTTGTATGCCCCTAGAATTGAGTTATTTTATGCAATTACTCATTTTGTCTGAATTTAATCTCTTTGGGGTGCCATTTTGGCCAAATTGAAGTAAGACCAATGGTATGCCAAGTGCTAATAAAAAGTATAAATCAATAGATTTTTGGCTTTTCTAGGAAATCCAAGCTGAAAGCATTTAGTTACTATTTCGAGTGTTGGCACTTTGTAGTTTGTTAGACTTTATTTATGGTAGGACCTCGAGAAAGAGTTTTTCTGCATGGTACTGTGGTTCCAAGAACAGGCTAGATCTTTCAACTTTAAGGGAATTAGTGTAAGAATATTTCAACTTTCCTTGTAAAGGTTTGGATTGTGAAGAAGGAATGCATCAAAATTCATGGTTTTAACTTCCAACACCAAGTGTGGCAGTTGGCATCCATCTGGTGTCACTTGTCACTGCCAAACATAATAAGACATAACGGTGTCCGATATGCTATTTTAATTGAACCTCTCCATATGGTGTTTTTCTTCTATCCATATATAAAAAAGTCAGAGCAGTTTTTATAAGGACATGATAACTTCATTAGTTCCCAGAAATGGCTTTCTTGCACCACCAACATGTAGCTTCAACTGCATATTCATTCGCGAGAAGTCCTTTCGCTTGTAGCATATGCATGATGATTCAAGTGATTGTAAGCTAGTTTCCCCATACTCTTGTCGGGTTTTGCCATTGCCCATATATGCTATTGCTTCGGTGTTGGAAATGAGAGATGGGAAGGATGCAGGTGTGAAAGGGTGCTCTTTTCGCTTGATGGTTCATTGTGAAGAGGAGATAGACCTTGATTCTTATAGTTCAGGTTGTAAGATTTGATGCTTTATTGATGTCAATTAACCTGCGGCTGCTTCATTCAGGTATAAAACGGAAATGATATCAGTTTTCAATGATCCTTCTAATTCTCATGATTCTTTTCACTCTAAGGAGCATAAAGAGAACAAAAGAGAAAGGAAAATGAAGTTAGACTTATTAACTTAGGTATTAATTAAACAATCATTGTATTAATGCATTTCTCATAGACTTTTGAGATCTACTGAAATCCTCTTCCCCTTTCTGTATCAAGAGTCAAAGGAAGAGACAAAGGGGCAATTACAGATTATCTTTAGCTGAAAGCATGTGAAATATATCCAATTTGAGTAGTAAACTAAAGAGATTTTTTCTGGTACTTATGTCATCTGACCCAGACAAAGGAATGAAGGCCTACTTGTGGATCAACAGTCTTTTCAGAAATTCTTTTGTGCTTTTACTATACATATCATTGTAAGACAAATCATCTTGTTATGGTTGACTGTGGAATAGTTGGAGCTAATATAAAATCATTAACATCAAATTTGGGCTCATTTCTAATTTTCTGTTTTAGTTTTACTTTAGGCATCTCCGGGTTTGAATCTTCTGGAGCCTTTCGTCGAGATGGCTTCAATAGGTTTGAACCTAGAATCTTATGTAGGGGTGGGGCAAAAATACCCGTTGACCTGAAAATCCGAGCAATCCGATCCGTCCCGCACTGAAAATTAGGATATCCGATCCGATTTCTATTAGCGGAGCAGATGAGGGTCGGGTACCCGTAAAATTCGGATACGGATATGGGTTACAAAAATAAAAACCTGCAGGTACCCGACCTGGGGGTATATTATATAAATATTAAAAAATATAGGGGCAATTTTATAATTTCCTTAAATTATTAACCCTAAAGACCTAAATATTATCGACGTTCAGCTTTCACTTTTGAAGTTTCTCTCTATCTTCAGTCTTCAGCCGAATATCTCCTCTTCTTCTCTTCAATTTTCACCACAACAATTCCAAATTTCTCTTCAATTTTCACCACTTCATGCTACAAATATACGATTGTCTTAGAATCATGAGAGAATCACAACCCATTTCTGATTTGCTGGTGCTCCTCAAAGCAAGCCTCAAGCAGAAGCTGCAGAACGCCGGAACGTCAATGCAAACTCTCAACCTTGTAAGTGCACCCTAGTATTTTCAGTGAATCTGTGATGCCCACTGCCCAGATTCTTGACAGGAGATATGGATTTTTTAATGGATTAAATCAGAAAAATAAGGAGGGGGGAGGGAATAGCATCTTTGCTAGGTGATAGAAAGGTGGAGTTGGAAAGTGCAGAACTCGCACTTATTGACTTTGCTGATGCTTCTTAAATAATTAAAGTTTGCTTGGGTGTACTTCTGTAGTTATTCGCATCAGCATGTAGCATCTCTTTTAGCCTATGATTTCTTGAATTTTAGTAGGCTTGTGAAAGTTGTTAGGTTGGGGGAATTTGTTTCTAGAACCAAGAGTTGCTGAAGTTGATTTGGTTGGCACTTCCTTCTCTGTTTTCTGTTTATGTCGAAGCTGAATTTGGCACTTATTCTCTATGTTTTCTTATTCTGGTTTAGTAATTAATTGGAAGGTGATATTTGTTGTGCTTGAAAAATGGATATTAGTAAACATGAATTATAAGGGCGGGTACCCGATGACCCACCCCTTTTTTTCGGGTACCCAGTCCTCGGGTATCCGGAGATAAGTGGAGTAAAAAAAATAGTGATCCGTTAGATTAGGGTCGGGTTAGCCAAATCACGTTTGGGGCAGGTACCCGACCCGTGCCCACCCCTAATCTTATGTAATTGATGGTTGGTTACCTTGATTCTTCCATTTTCTTCCGAAGCATCTTTATACATCAATGCTAATTGTTTGCTTTATTTCTTTGTTAGTAATGTGATGGGAACAACTGGTTTTGTGAAAACTTGTGCAGTGGCTGGCTTTTCTCTGCAACAAAACTTGTAAATCCATTTTTTGCCTTCCTGGACCCAGAGGTTGCCCACAGACTAGCTGTCTCGGCCGCGGCTCGTGGATGGGTTCCAAGGGAGAAAAGGCCAGATCCATCCATATTGGGCCAAGAAGTGTGGGGGAAGCGATTCTCCAATCCTATTGGTCTCTCTGCTGGTTTTGACAAGAATGCTGAGGCTGTTGAAGGTTTACTTGGACTTGGTTTTGGTTTTGTGGAGGTTGGCTCTGTAACTCCTGTTCCCCAGGAAGGCAATCCTAAGCCTCGTATATTCAGATTGCCTAAGGAAGGGTAGCGACATTTGAATTTTGCTTTTGGATTAGAATGACATTTTTTTGTACATTTCCGTGTTTTCATGTATTGTCAAATTTTCTTTTGAGTTGCACAGCGTCGTTTTATTTTGTTATCCAGATTCTTAGTCAATCATGTTCTCAAACTTTTTGCAGTGCAATTATTAATAGGTGTGGCTTTAATAGCGAGGGAATTGTTGCTGTTGCGAAGAGATTGGGAGCTCAGCATGGGAAGAGGAAATTGGAAACATCAAACACTTCATCTTCTACTGAAGATGATGTAAACCATGGAGGCAAAGCTGGTCCTGGAATTCTTGGGGTCAACATTGGAAAGAATAAGACCAGTGAAGATGCTGCGGCAGATTACGTTCAAGGTGTCCATACATTGTCCCAGTATGCTGATTACTTGGTATGTTGCCATACCCTTTTTTTTTCTCCTGATATCTGGTCTGCATCTTATTTTGCATAGATGTCTCCCAGTTCTGTCTGTAGGACTGTCATTTCCTTGGATAATTCATCATGGTTGATTTAGATGATTGCAGAGTATTAAATTAGTCCTTCACAACTTGATATGGTAGCTTGCTTCTTGGTTATTAGTTGTGTTAGTAAACTGTTTTCTCAAAGAAAATTGTATTCAAATTAAGAGATCTAGGCAGTCAAGGGTGAATTATGTTAAATTTGAAGTTAGTGTTGTCCAAGCAATAGAGCAGTTTCTATGTATTCGTGGTTAAAAACAGAAATACTTGTGTTGCACCATTACTGTCTCGAAATCATTGAATGCGTATGATCGTGAGAGTCCGATGATTTACTGTTGATATTGCCACAGAAGCATATGGCTTAACTGTTTGAAGAAATCACCTGGCTGTTGGTAGCCCTTGCTTATTTAGATTGGATATTAGTTCTTTTCTTAATCTTTCTGATGGATGGTTGACCCTCCATTTATCTATAGATTTTGTGATTGGTACTTTCTCCTAATTTTGCTTCATTTGGCTCGGTATATGGTTCATACCATGTGATTTCTTGGTTGCACTAATGTTTCAGCTTTTATATGACTGCAATTAATTCATCATATTGATGTTTTTGATCATTATTGGTTCTGCTATTTTCCTTCCCAATATTGATAGAGATATACATTTGGCTGTTGAATGTTTTTATTGATCCGGATTTGACCTGGATATCCTTCTAACTAGTTACAAGTTATTGACCTGAATTTTCCTTCCTAACGTTTTTATTGACCCGGATTTGACCTGGATATCCTTCTATGCACGTGTTTTGGGGCCCAGATTCCCCTGATAGGCAACACTTGACGTCCAAAGCTTTCATTAGAATTACACTGATGTTCCCAGATTACATAGGCCTTTCCACATGTCATTTCTGCTTCTCTAATATTTAAGTAACTCGTACTTGTAGAGTAGAAAAGACTCTGTAACCTATATTTGACAGTTTATAGTGAAAATGTGGCTTTTGTTGTCCCTATTTTGTGCCACAGAAAGTTTTTTGGCGCAGTTGGTAACAATTGGAAATAGACGTTGCTCTAGAAATGTGCATAAAGGCAATTTGTTTATGATGATGATCTTTAAACTTTTTCTTTATCTTCATCTGCTACTGAGTTCATGAGGATGGCAGTCGACACTCTAATTCTGCTTAATGGGGGGAAATTGAGTTTTACTTTTGGCCATTCCAAAATTCGTCATCTAGTGTCCATTTGGTTAGATGTAAAATGATTTGGTGTCAAAAGGACTTCCAAGATGTTTCATTTCCTATTGTTTTGTGATGTCTGAATAACTATTGGATATTGTTTCCCTGAAAACATTTTACATTTCACGATCAGTCATTTCCCTGTATCAAGCTGAAAGAACCACAAAAAACCTACCCAGAATAATTGAAGACATAAAAATTAACCTTCTAATATTAAATTGGAATCAAACTCATTCAGAAATAGAAAAAAAATCAAGAAATGAAAGAGTTTTACAGCTCCCAATTGATAGAGCAAGTCAACTAGAAATTTCTAAAATTCTTGCCTCCGAGTATGCTCTGTGTCTTTATTCACTCTTCTCATATCTGCGTTCTCCCTAACAATCTATCAGAGAGGCCCTAGATTCAGATTCTATGTATATTACCATAGCCACACATGCAAGATGCAGAAAGATGGAGATCCATGAATGTGTGTCTGTGTGAGAGAGAAACAAAGAATGGAGGAGGAACAGGAGACTTTTATGGAAAAATAGGTGAAGGATGAGGAGGCTGTTGTTCGGGTAGTCCGCCAGGTGTTGGTCAACTTCCTGTTGGAAAATGTTCTTCATCTATCAGTTCTAATGGCAATCAATAAATTGGCGTGTTTTTGTTGAAGGATACAGGTGGTGTTATGGTGTTCAATAACTTCAGTAAGTCGTGTTATTGTGCCTTTCATTAGACCAAACAAATCCCTAATGTATAATCATTAGACCAGTTGACCAACACAATCCATATTCCTATCAATATGTTTAGAGGTGTTGTTCAATGAGTGACTATGAATAACTGATAGGACTAAGCAAAAAAATTAGAATGTTAAAACTACATGAAAACTTATATAGAATTATAATTATTAAACAGTTAGATTAATTGTAAGAACAAATCATTTGTTGATTCTTCTGTCCGGTTATTAACTTAAATGACAATTTGGGTCCCGTTATTGCGCCTTTCATGCAGTCAGGGAACATCACAATCATGAGATAAGATGGTAAATGGGAAAGTCTGGATGATTTCACTATTTTGAATTCTTGATTAATGCTAAAACAATTAGAGTCCATGTCAAAATGACATAGAAACTTTTATGTAATTTATACTTATTGAACTGTTATCCCTGGGTTTGATTATAGATTAAGGTGAGGCAATCATGAATCCTTGGGTCTGATTGATTCGTTCTTTTTGCCACTAGCAGACAATTATGATGCAAATTCTTAGTAGCAATGAGCAAAGACAATGCACAATTAATTCTTTTGCATTCATACTTTTGCAATAGAAGGTGAAGAAACTGTTTTGTCATTTTCATTGATTGCTAGAACTTTTATCCACTCCCTTATGTGGAAAAATATGGTATGAAAACTGGTGTTTGTTTAATCTCCATTCTATTTTTATTTGTGCTACAAAACAGAGGATAAAGGATTCTTCTTGGACTACAAAACAGGGAAAAAGAGTTTTTTTCTTAAAGTGCATCCGATTTGGTGACCTAGATGTGTAAAATAGAAGAGAGCCAAAATGCTGTCTTGTTGAAATTATGAGAGATGGAAAGCAAAAAATTTTAACCCTAAACTTGACAAGAATGATACTTTTAGTCCATCTACTAAAATGAAGTCAGGTGCCCAAACATCTTCTTTCTTTGCTTGATTTACGGTCTTTATCTCTCTTCAGCCATTTTGTTCTCACTAGTTTGTTATCACTATGTTTACAAATTCTTGCTTTCCTCATTCTTTATAATCTGTTGTAAAGGACAATTCTAAATGCTTCTTGAAATTAGAGATATATTGATTTTAACCCTGCATCCATGATTAAATTGCTATCTAGGTTAGCAGATAAAGGTTTACTTTCTAATTGGCTTACGTGTTTTTTGTATCTTATAACCTTTCTTGGTTAACAATGACTCTCGTACCTTTACTTCAGTCTGGTCATCTGACTTGATAGACAATTATCGGACGTCAGGTCTACCCATCTCTTGGCTGGAGTATGCATTTATTAGACTTGGGTAATTTCTTGTAGTCAGAAGTATCTGCATGGCTTTTTATGCAGTAGGCTTGCTTCTTTTTGTGCCAACCTGCAAGTGATGTTATGCTCTGGTTAGTTAATCCACCAAAATATTGACTTTGTAGACCTTGACTCCAACCTCAAATTTTGAGATGTCTATGCTTGTTTTCTTAATGTTATGGCTTCTCCATTATCTTTCCAAACATGTGCTTGCATAACTTGCATGGCTAGTGCTGTACATAAGCAGCTCTTACACCTCCAAAGGCTATTAGTAAGTGCTGTGACAATGAACAATGATCAACCAGAAAGAGCCTGATCTTTTTCTTCTTTTTCCGTTGTTATTTCTACTCCCAAGTATTCTTTACACAGGAAAAGCTCCAAGGATGCAACATGCATATGCAGTTTATAAGCAGAAATGGAATTTGAATCTTCATTCCCAACCACATAATATGCACATGGGACATGTTTATCTTTGCTTAACTCCATTGGTGGAACCATTTGGTCCTGCATTATGTACTTCTCTTATAAGTGATTTCTGGAAGAAACCTAGACAATATGAAGAAAGTGTAGGAAAAGTGGCTGGTAATATCTTTCAGCATTTTATGTTTAAGTAGTAGTGTAACTTAATCTACTTGGTCTACTGACAAAAAATCCTATGGTTTTGGTGCTAATTTAGTGATAATTTGGACACGCAGAGAGCAAAAATTTCTTTTGACAAAAAAAAAAAAAAAAGAGAGCAAAAATTTCTATTGCGTGCTATTCAATACTAGTTCTGAATGGTTCCAGGGATGCTAATTTATTATTTCTCTCTAATTAGGAAGTAAAACTTTGCTATCACTGATTCTTTTTTTCAATATTTGAGCAGTTGATGTTTTCAAAATCTGCTTCACCATCTGATGTTTTATCCACATTTCTAGTTTTGGGCATGTACAAAAATGTAACAATGATTTGATAGCTGACAAAGGATGTACTTTCAGTAATTTAAGTACTCATTTGGTCTCTGAGGCCATGGAGGCCATGCCTTTGTACATACTTGAAAAACTAGTGCTCTATGCACAGGCCAGCATGTTTTAGAAATAGAGTAGTCGATGGTAATGGACGGAAATTAATTCACTAAATTACAGTTAAAGGTCCTTTTTCAACCCTTGAATGTAAAGAAGCTATTATCCAGCGCAAAATCATTAATTATGACATTACACCCAAAATTTTCTTCTACTTTATATATAGTAAGACGTTGCAAGTCTAAATATGCAAATTTATATTGATGATTTACTATTTTGGCAAAGAATCATGCTTGTTTTTGCTAGTTATATTACAAATTCTGGAAGCATTATCTGCAAGTGTCTGATTGTTTCTAGATCATTAAGATTCATCAACATCAGACTTGTAAGTGTAGACAACAATTTCTCATATATTTCATTATGGCCTTTCTAGGTGATTAATATATCATCCCCAAACACTCCTGGACTCCGCCAACTGCAGGGAAGGAAACAGTTGAAGGACCTTGTTAAGAAGGTCTGAATATTCTGTATCTCCAGCATTGCATTTTTCCCTATTCATTTTTGAGGTTGTCAGTAAAGACTTAGGAAGTAATTCTTCTATATTAAGGTTCAAGCTGCTCGTGATGAAATGCAATGGGGTGAGGAAGGGCCACCCCCATTGCTAGTGAAAATTGCACCAGATCTTTCCAGACAAGATCTAGAAGATATTGCAGCGGTACGACTGAAAACTCGTGCTTCGGCCATCCTTTTCTGTTGTTATATACTAACTGTTGATTGACACGTTTAGGTTGCTCTTGCTCTCCGCTTGGATGGATTGGTATGTTTGCTTTAACAATTTCGTCTCTTTAAAGATGGTTTACTTTGGCTTTATGCTCAATATGGATATGCATATTATCTGTCTTGCTGCATCTGTATGGTTCTTTATGTGTGAGTTCGGTATTTTGTGCCTTTGGCAGTTCATTTTCTGTAGCTTCTTGCTGAAATTTTTTTGAGATTTAAGTTGTGGTGGTTAAATTATCAATGGTACTTCTAGTGAGTAACTTTTTTTTCCCTTCTTTTTGGTCCTATGGAGGGCAAAAGGCTCTTTACAAAGAAACTAGATGGATCCCATTACATCATTACTTGACCGATTCCTAACTACATTTTTTTTTTTTGAGGAAGAGATGGGGCGAGGGGGGGGGGGATTCTCAGAGCATCTTCAACCCAGGTTCCAAGCTCAGACACAGTTTGCTTAGACAGTCTACACTTGCATTGCCTTCTTTCCAGACATGCCTCACGTTCCATTCCCCGTCCTTATCAATCCAACTTCTGTTTTGCTTTTTCAGATTTAAGTGGGGGCTATTCGCTGTGCCATCTTTAATAGTAGCAATACTTAACAGAGAATCTGACTCCAAAACTATTTTCCTATACCCTGCCTTCCATGCCAGCTCCAGTTTACATGCCATAACTCCATAACTCTGCAATTATGTCTCTAGTTTTACCCACTTTATATGGAAGACTTAACACATTTACCCATTCAACTTATAGCCAAGTTGCACCATATTGCTTTAAATACATTGGATGATAGGGTCCAGCAATGACATGAGATATGCCATTGATTTTGTTGAAGTAGGACCAATGCACAGATGAGCTGGCACACTACACCATTAAGCTTAAGGCTAAGTTGGATTCTATTCCATTAAATACACTGAATGACTAAGGTTCAGCATCAACATGAAATCTGCCATTGATTGTATTGAAGTAGGACTGCAAACGGTCATTAACCGAATGAGTTTTTCGGAAACTAATTCTGCAGTTAACTTTTGTAAACGTTGATTCTTTCTTGGATTTTACTTTCTACCCCTCTCCATCATTACAGAGTTCTTCTGCTCTATGGTGTCATCTTGTTCTTCCCCAAGTTTCTACACAGGAGTATTATTTAAATACTGAACATTGTGGCTGCAATGTCATTTGGATGATATTTACTTTGGATAACTTAACTAGGAGTGAGAACCTTCTTTTTTTATTTGAACTACTTGTAGTTTTTGTTAAGAGAATATAAGTATTCTTGTAGATAATAAATTAGTAAGGATATTCTTGTAAATAGTTTGTTAGGTTTGTACTCCTATAAATACTAGTTGGTCACTCATAATAAAGTGACTAGATGTTTTCCTCCCAAAATACCAGTTAACATGGTATCAGAGCAAAAGTCCTAGGGTTAGGGTTAAACATCTAGTCAAAGTACTGTTCAGCAGCACTGTTCATCGCGGAACTGTTCACGGCGCCGCACTGTTCACGGCGTAGCACTGTTCACGCGTACTGTTCACACGTCACTGTCATCTCGAGTTTATGCTCATGCCCTCCACCAATCGTCCTCTTTGTCTTCAAATCCTGAATGACAATAGAATCAGGAGAAAAAGTAACTGTACACTGTAGAAATTTAGTGAGCTTACTAACAGACATTAGATTAAAGGGCAAATTGGGTACGTAAAGAACAGAAGACAGCGGAAGTGATGGATTAATTTCTACAGTGCCTAGTCCTTTAACTTTAGTGGTAGATCCATCAGCTAAAGTAACATGAGGATATGGAGTAGACTACTTAGAAACATTTTCTCCTGTTGCAAATATTACCTCTGTTCGTCTTCTTATCTCTTTGGCAGCAACTTATAATTGGCCATTGCATCAGTTGGATGTGAAAAATGCATTTCTGCATGGAGATTTGGAAGAAGAGGTATATATGGAACAACCTCCTGGATTTGTTGTTCAGGGGGAGAAGCGGTTGGTTTGTCGTTTGAAAAAATCCTTATATGGATTGAAACAGTCTCCGAGGGCTTGGTTTGGCCGGTTTAGTAGTGTTGTCATGGAGTTCGGTCTGACCAGATGTGGAGTAGATCACTCTGTATTTTATCAGCATTCTAATGCTGGTAAAATTTTATTAGTTGTTTATGTAGATGATATTGTGATTACAGGTGATGATGTTGTGGGGATCCAGAAACTTAAATCCAATCTGCAGGCAAACTTTCAGACAAAGGATTTAGGTCATCTACAGTATTTTCTGGGTATTGAGGTAGCTCGGTCTAAATATGGGATTTATTTATGTCAAAGGAAATATGTACTCGATATGTTGAGTGAAGTTGGGATGTTAGGTTGCCGACCTGTAGATACTCCTATGGATCCCAATGTGAAATTAGCAGGAGATCAAGGTGCATTACTTGATGATCCTGAGCAATATCGAAAACTTGTGGGTAAATTAAATTATCTCACTGTAACGAGACCTGACATTTCGTTTGCAGTGAGTGTTGTGAGTCAATTTCTTGATACCCCTCGTACTAGTCATTGGGATGCTGTTATACGGATTTTCAGGTATCTTAAGAGTGCTCCTGGAAAAGGGTTGCTGTATCAAAGTCATGGACACACTGATATTGAAGGATATAGTGATGCAGATTGGGCTGGTTCTGCCTCAGATCGAAGATCGACTACAGGATAGTGTGTTTGTTGGTGGTAATTTAGTGTCGTGGAAGAGTAAGAAGCAAACAGTTGTATCCAGATCAAGTGCAGAATCTGAATACCGCGCTATGGCTCACATTGTGTGTGAGTTGGTTTGGTTGAAGAGCATGTTACTTGAACTTGGGTTTGAGCATAAACAGCCTATGAATTTAGTGTGTGATAATCAGGCGGCTGTTCATATTGCGTCTAATCCAGTGTTTCATGAAAGGACAAAACATATTGAAGTTGATTGTCATTTCATTCGAGAGAAATTGCTTGACGGGGTCATCAAGACATCTCATGTACCGTCTGTAGATCAATTGGCTGATGTGTTTACCAAGAGTTTAGGGGTTCTAGGGTGAAATACATTTGTAACAAGTTGGGTGCTTATGATATATATGCTCCAACTTGAGGGGGAGTGTTAAGAGAATATAAGTATTCTTGTAGATAATAAATTAGTAAGGATATTCTTGTAAATAGTTTGTTAGGTTTGTACTCCTATAAATACTAGTTGGTCACTCATAATAAAGTGATTAGATGTTTTCCTCCCAAAATACCAGTTAACAGTTTTCAACGCTTCTGTATGAGCAGATATTTCCTTTTATGTGTTGATAGTGGTATCACCTCACACACATCCTAGGTCACAGTTTACTCGTGATATTTAGCCATCTTAACGCAGTTTCGACTACAATATTTTGAGGACTGAATAACTTGCTTGTGTCTTTGTTTTAGGTTCCTAGTTTAAATATAAAACGTTGCTCTTCTTCTTCTTCTTCTTCTTCTTCTTCTTTTTTGGGGTGAGACATTTGGCTCTAATTGGATAAGTTGCCTTTGGATAATGTGAATCGTGTTGGCGAGAAACAATGGTGCAAAAATTTAAAAAGAAAAATTTCTTAGTTTACCTGATTCACTGGTATTATTTGCAGTTACTATGTATGCTTCTTTACCAAACTTTAGTGGATTGTCTTTGTGAATCTTGTTGCATGACTCGTGTGTACTTCATGCTTGCAGATTATATCAAATACAACAGTTCAAAGACCTGATCCTGTGAATAAGAACCCTGTGGCACAAGAATCCGGTGGCTTGAGCGGGAAACCACTCTTTAACTTATCCACTAATATCCTGAAGGAGATGTATATTCTAACAAAGGTATGCTTTTTGTAATCATTTTTAAATTGATTTCATACTGTTGGTGGCTTATCTGTTTTGCTGCTCTGATGTGTGTAATGCCTATAGGGATTTTAGTAATTATACACGGAAAATTGCATAACTTTGAGCAGATCATGTAGTCAGTCTTAATAGACATGTTCTGAAATCTTAGGAGACTTATATCTCCACCATGTTTAGGTGCCCAATTGATGTACTTCGTTTGATGCAATGAAATATTTTGTGAAGTACTTTTACTTAGACCCTCAATCACGTTAGCAAATTGACTTCTGCACTATCTCGGTTATCATGAATCTGGTACCAGGGGAAGATTCCTTTAATTGGCTGTGGAGGGATTGGCAGGTACTTTTGGTTCTTATTTATGTGTTTGAGCATCACAATCTTGTGTAGTTAGGATTACCATTTGACTTGTATATATGGATTATTGATTTTAGTGGTGAGGATGCATATGAGAAAATTCGAGCAGGCGCATCTCTTGTTCAGCTTTATACAGCTTTTGCATATGGTGGACCTGCACTTATACCTCAAATGAAGGTACTGTTTTGATTTGATTGGAAATGTTAAAGACAGATGTGACTACAGCTGCAAATGTTTTTTGTTTAAGGTGCACTTTAATTATGTGTTTGTTGTCCACTAATTCAAAGCATAAAATTGAGGAATTTAATTGCGATCAGACTGAACTTGGTAGTAACAACTTCTATTGTTGTCCATAATGATGGAAATGGGATTAAGATTACTCTTTTAACTATGGGGTCTTTCATGCTTGTAAGCGTTTCTTCATCTTGTAACTACACTCACAAATGATTTTTGTTTAAGGTGTACTTTAAGTATGTGTTTGTTGTCCAATAAACTCAAAGCATAAAATTGGGGAACTTAATTGCAAACAGGCTGAACTTGGTGGTAACAACTTCTATCATTGTCCATAATGATGTAAAAAGGTTTAAGATTACCCTTTTAACTATGGGGTCTTTCATTCATTTCTTTTACTTTTTCTTTTTCTTTTGCTTTTGATTAAGTTAGTTTTACACTAGAAAGCCAACTCCCAAGATCCATTACAATGAAACTGGAAGATGGCCCTCCTAACAGTTACATTGAAAATGTGGGGTGACCTACCAGGTTATTTTTCCTCTTGGATTATAATTTGATGGATACCCCCAATCAACCACTGTAATAGGGATTTGTATTTTTAGAGGCTCCCATGACCTAATTTCATTGTTAAATCTTCTTTTTCTGTGTAGTTTGGGAAGCTTCCACGGTAGCTATTGGATTTAGATTAATGTTCGCTTACATGCATTTGTTATTTGGATGGGAAAACATGCAATGAAGTCCTTTACTTGAAGTTGCAAATATTTTTTTCATTGGATGTAAATGAGAAATAATTATCTTTACATGTAAAAACACCATTATGTTATAAAGTTCAGAGCCAACATTGTCCAAGGTGCACTTGTTGATTATTATCACTTACCTTGGTTTATTTGTTCTTCTGGACTTGCAGAATATCCTGAAATCTACTAACTACTGGCATCTATAGCTTAAAGCTCAAACAAAAGTTCTTATGAAGTTAGTAAGTCTTTGTTGGGAAAAGACCAATCTATGACACTTCCTGAATGTAGGATTTTGTAATGTCTCCTTGTAAAATTTTGTTTTTTTTTTTTTTAAAGATGAGGTCTATGAGATGCTTTGGACAATTTGCATTTACTTGTAATAGTAGTTTATTGAAATGTATGAGTCAATAAAAGCTGAATGTGAGGATTTGATTAAGCTTATCTATGCTTTTTTTTTTTTTAAACTATAGCTTTTCTGTGTCTGTTCATGGACATGCTGCAATGGTAAATGCAATTGTTACTATAGATTTATTTTTTCAACTATAGCTTTTCTTTTATGTTTGGTCATTTTTAGTTTTTATTTCGAAGTAGAAACAAGACTGCTGTCTTCTGCTCTGAATATATGCTGCTTTTTAGGCTGAACTTGCTCAATGCTTGGAAAGAGATGGTTACAATTCTATCTATGAGGCTGTTGGCGCAGATTGTAGATAGTTTTCTTGTAACTTACCCAGTTACACATGCCACAGAGGTAATGATTGCTGTCGTAAACCCTTAGCATACAACTAACTAAGCACTTAGTTCCCCTTTTCCTCGCTCTGTTGTGATATACTTATGATGTATGTTGCTAATTTACATACACTTCTTATCTGTTCCACTTCATTGGCTGGGCCGGTGGTGGTTTTGATGCGAACTGAAGTTTTTGGTCTTTTGAATACTTTCAGTCTGCATAGATGAGTTTGATCTATATGTGTCTGGTTATTATACAGTAATCTGTTTTTTGCAATCTAGCCACTCCTGTTTTAGTAAAGAGTTGATAATTAGGTCTTTCAGCAGCTATATTTGTCTGAATTGACCTGGGAGTGACTTTGGATTGGCTAAATGTGTTAGCAGAGTCAAGCTACCTCTTCCTGGAAGACCCTTGGTGCTTTTTAATTCAAGGGGAGGATATTTGACAGCACGGTCATCCTGATTCGTATAGAAGAGACCTTTAGCAGTGGCTAGAATTTTGCTGCTGAGCGAGACATCAAGAAGGCATTTTCATTTGTCAGAATTCTTATTATACCGATAAAACAGGAAATCTTTCTTACAAACCAAAGTGATTGCCAGCATTGCTTTGACAATTTTGATTAGGTTCTAGTTACGTTTTCAATGCTAAAGCATTTTTTTTCCCACAGATAGGGGCTGTTAGGCTTGTGTCGGGGGTTTTGAGTGTTTATTTTTACTTTTATTATTATTTTGGGACCTCTCCTTGGCAGCTGCTGTAAACCTTTATTTATTTTTATTTTTATTTTTTTTGGCTATTTTGTATTCTGGAAGAGAATAAAATGTTGTTCACCTTATCTCATTAAAAGTAAATGGATGAAATCCTGTCTTTGAAGCTTCTTTTCTATGTGAATAGGATAATAGATACCATGACCACCCATCGAAAACTTTAGCCATTTGGTCCTCCCATGTCTCACCAATTGATTGTGGCTGAAATCTTATGGGTCCGCAGTTTTTTTCTATCTAATATTTAGAGTAAACAGTTGCAAGATCGGGGACACAAATAATTTAGTGGTATTTTTTTTTTGTTTTTAATCATTGTCACTTTATCTATATTATCTGACTCTATCCTAATTTAAAGGGGAGGTTTAACTGGGCCTCCGGAGGATTGGCGAGGATTAAAAAATCATCGGATCAGATAGGTGCATTATGCATTTATATAGATTTTTTAAAGAAGTCACATACCATGATAATTAATGAGAAATAAATTTTGAACTCTTGATCTTTTATCTCACCAAACTTTAAGGATTTGGTAGTGACCAACCGTTCAAAGACTATTGGTTATTTAGTGATAATTGTTGCCAAGCCATATTTCTGGCTCTTAGTCACCCTAGCGCATCATTTCGACAGTGTCATTGACTTTTTTGGTCAGACCTCCTGTCATTTAGTCCAATCAGACAGGAAGAAATGAATGATGTTTGGCATGCATTTGCCCATGGAAACAGGGGCTTGAAGTTTAAATTTGGTTAGATATTTACTCAAAGCGAGCTGGATAACACAGTGAAAATTAATAGCTAAGCTCGAATGAAGTATATATTGCTTTTCATGAAAATGCAAAGTAATCGACAGATATTACTTCGATTTGGAAGAGAGAAGTCATTTCTTAAACAGTTAACTGAAAATTTTGAACTTGGAGGCAACAGAAGAGAAGAATTTTATGAATTACAGTAACAGCAAAATGCTTTACAACAATGTCCAAGGCGTCAAGGATTCATAAGAACTTTCTTGCTGATGTTATACCAAAATGAAATGTTTAGTCTCTGGTTACAATGTGAAAATGGAGATAAAAATCTACAAGCATCGGCCAAAAAGGAAAAAAATTGTACATTGACAGACCATTGAAGCTCTCATTTCCAGTTGTTTGCAACAATGTCAGCCAAATCAACCACCCTCTGTGAGTAACCCCATTCATTGTCATACCAAGCAATAACCTTTACCATGTCATCTCCCATGACCATTGTCAATGAAGCATCAACTGTTGAAGAAACATCAGTGCATCTGAAGTCCACTGAGACAAGTGGCTCATCACACACAGATAGAATACCATTTAGCTCCTTGTCAGCAGCCTCCCTGAATGCTGCATTCACTTCTTCAGCAAATGTCTTCTTCTCAACCTGAACGACAAGGTCTACAACCGAGACATTTGGAGTTGGCACACGAAGTGCAATGCCATTGAGCTTTCCCTTGAGTTTTGGAAGGACAAGTGCCACTGCTTTTGCTGCACCAGTTGAAGTTGGAACTATGTTGAGAGCTGCTGCTCTTGCACGTCTAAGATCCCTATGGCTTGCATCAAGAAGTCTTTGGTCTCCAGTGTAGGAGTGTGTTGTTGTCATAGTTCCCTTGATGATGCCTGCCAGCATAAATTTTGGAAACACTTTTCAGGGCATTCGTTTAAACCCTATACAGCAATTAATTTCGTTTTAGTATATTCCTGGGAAAAATCATCAGTGCAACAGATACATTACCGAATTTTTGATCAAGAACTTTGACAAAAGGTGCAAGGCAGTTGGTGGTGCAAGAAGCATTGCTGATGATTGTCTCATCAGGGTTGTAAGTTTCAGCATTCACACCAATCACATAGGTGGGAATGTCACCTTTTCCAGGGGCTGTAATCAGCACCTTTTTAGCTCCAGCCTGAATGTGCTTACCTGCACCTTCTCTATCAACAAACACTCCAGTTCCTTCTATCACGAGATCAATGCCCATTTCCCTGAATCATTGGATCAATGTGCAAAAGAAGAATTTATAGCAGTTAACGCATTTGATTCATCGATATAAAGAGTCTAAATTAGTTTCCCCATAGTTCATGTGTAGTGATTTACCCCCAGGGGAGATTGACAGGATTACGGTTTGTTACAACTTTAATGACCTTCCCATCGACAGATATGCCTTCATCAGCAGGCTTGACATCAGCCTCAAAGATTCCAAGAGTAGAGTCATACTTGAGAAGGTGAGAGGCTTGCTTCACACCTCCGGTGTCGTTGATGACTACTACATCAAGAGGAGAGTCCTTCCTGCCATGCCAGCACCTCAAGAAGTTCCTTCCAATTCTCCCAAATCCATTGATGGCCACTTTCAGTTTAGCTTCCACAACTCCCCTCTTGTTCTTGCCTCCACCAATCTAGATTACACAGATGATGTACAGAAATAGTCAGCTTAGACTTCTTGATGAGCACCTTTTTCTAGTTTAATGACATTTGTAAATTCAGTTTTTTCTTGAATAATTTAGATCAATTTATAACTTTTTGGGCAGCAATTTTACAAGATTGGTTGGATATTTTAGTTTTAATCAGTACTTGCAGACAGTTAAGAACCTCCGGCACCAGGGTAATCGTCAAACCACCAAAACTATGCACATTTAAATGCTCAAATTTGATCATATTTTCAGGATTTAGTTCAAGCATCTTATTCTGTTATTTATTTATTGATTTTGTTTTCAGTCTCTAGGAGTGTTTGACCCAAATGATTGAACAAGTTACGCTTTCTATGCATGGCATGCTTGTGATACTAAAGCATAAAGGCACTAGTGTTCCTGCATCTATACCTTTTCTTCCTTACAATTCTCTACAATCTAGTTTTGTATCTTTTATCAATTTACTTCAACAATTCAGAATCGTCCTATAATAAATCGTTTTGCTAAGAAAGTTCAAAGAAGTATATTCCATCTAAATTAACAACTTCCAATGTTTAAGCTAAAGTCCAAACTGGTTAAGATTCACCTCGATCAAATGTTTGAAGTAAATGCAATAAAGACCAATTATAATTACTGAAGATGATGATCTTTAGTTAGGAAAGTTAAGATTCTTCACTTACAACTGAGGTTTGGAATGCTACAACTGAGAGTAAATCATCACTTGCTTTCCTTGCAAATGGAAGTGAGGAACTGCGAAGCCCCGCGAATTCAGAGAATCCCTTATTACTGACCTGCATTAGTACGTATTTTTTCACCAACAATTTAATCATTTTCAAGTTCTAAAAAGTCTCATGCAGTTACTTCTGCTATGTATACATATATAGAGTTTTTGTGATCAAATAATAACCTGGAGGGATGAATTGGCAACGGATAGAGCAGCCGAAGCCATGACTAAATTTCTTGAAGAACTCTCAATGAACCAGGTCAGTTTTCAGTAAGCGGCCAACAAGGTGTAGAAGAGTAGAGAGATGGAAGTAGTAAAGGAGGAAGAAGAAAAGAAGAAATGTGTATGGAAGGTTTAAGGATGAGTTGGGCCATGAAGTTGAAGAAAAGAGATAGTGGATGAGATTACTGATGATAGATAGCCTCTCACTCATTGTATGGCTGTGGTTGTGGCTCTGTGGTGTTTCTGATATGTTGTAGCTGTTTGTGTGTTTCATAATTTTATTCATTTTGTTTGTGTTATTTAAAATTTTTGGGCATACAAATTTTGCATTTGTGAACAATTCTATCCTGGGGAGTTGCCAGCATGTCAAGGAGGCTCCTCCTCATAGGATAGCTCAGGCTTGAAATCTGTTGTCCCTACCCTTCTAGCGTGGAAAAAAAAATTTGGGAACATGGAATTCTCCACTCTTGGATTTTACTCTGATTACATGGACATATCGTTTAATTTCATATATAGAAATAGGATTAAGACAATCACCTTTTTCTTTCTTTTCTTTTCATGGATTGACCTTATCATTGCAGCATTTGGTTGCAATCACATTATCTTCTAAGAAATCTTTGTAAAGGTATTCGAACATCCAGACCTTTTTCTTCACTTTAAGTAGCTTCAAACATGTTGATCATATAGACAATTTTGAAACGGTAGAGGGTTCACATTGTTGAACTTGATAGGACATGAAAATTGTAAATTTGCAATTCTATGGAAAGGTCCTAAGACATAATTATAATAAAACTCATAGGCAAATGATCTAACAAGGAAAGATGATTGTTATAATATACGGATGGCAGATTATAGATTTTTCTTAAATATTTAATAATTTTGGATATTCCAGTCTAGTTTTTGAAAGAACAAATTATCTAAGTAGCCACTAAACTTTTTGAATAGTCGAGTTTTGGCCACTCAACTTTTAATAATACGTTTTTAGCCACTGAATTATCAATAATATAAATTTTAGATCATTCCATCTAATTTCATCATTAATTCTATTAAATCTAACTATTAATAGTATGTCTCGTAAATTGTGCGAATTCTTGGATCTGATAGAATTAAGGATGGAATCAGACGGAATGACCCAAAAATTACACATTTGATAGTTCAGTGGGTAAAAACATACTATTAATAATTGAATGGTCAAATCTTGACTATTAAAAAATTTAGTGGCTACCCGAATAATTTGCTCTATTTGAAATAATGATAGCCTTTCCCATCAATATAGGTTTTTAATTTTTTTTCCCTAATCCAAAGAAAATTGCGCTTCTTTTACTATCGAATATGTCCTATATCCCCAAAGCACGACAATCAAATTCTTTTTTGGCATTTCAGAAAAAGTTATAAAGCATGATTTGAAACGAGTATGGACATTTGGGAGATCAATAGCTTCAGATTAGGGAAAGTCTAAAATTATGATAATTAATATGGAAATGAGAAAAATAAATGTAATTGAGAACAATTGAGAACATTCACATAATAAATCTCCTCTAAAATAAATCAGAGTCAACAACGTAAACAACGAAAACAAAGAAAGAAATGAAGCATATAAACCACGCAAGTACGAAGCCAAAATCATGGCCATGTAACTCTTTTGCAAGGACGCAGGCCGAACGGTTGTCAGGCAAGTCGTTCGAGTCGATTTTGTACGAAATGCACAAGATGTAACTTTTATTGCATGCGGTGTAACTCACTTTTAATAACGTGTAATTATAGAACAAAATTTTATAAATCTCACACATGATACGAAAAATAATGTACAATATACAATCTGAACCTTCAAACAGCCGTTCCTGCCCCACTTTCCTTGTGCAATATCCTAGAACCATTCCACATCGTTGTACATGGTGGTCCAACTCCGACTACGTGCTCTTTTAGGGTCCATATGCAAAGGTTTCAATTTGATTGGACCTTGGTCGTTCGAAAGGACTACAGGTAAGAAAATTGTTAAACATAATATTAAGGACTAATTTCACTTTATACCTCTTAACTTGTATCTTTTTTTTTTTATTGTACAGCCTAAATTTTAATTTTCAACGCTTTACATTCCAAACTCTCAATTTTGGACACTTTATACTCTAAACTTTTATATTTATCCCCTTTAAATCTAATCAATGATAACATTAGAAAAATTAACCAAATAAATGACATTATTATAAATTGATGATAATGTATCATTTTGTTCTAGTTATGATTCCTTAGATCCTTTTTAACATTTTCAACGTATTGTCTTTGATTTGATTTGTATGGCTCTAATCACTAAAAATATTAGCAAAAATAAACAAATAAAAAAGGTACAATTTAATGATGCTGTATCATTTTGTACTAATTGCAATATCTTGAACACTTCGGGCAAATTATTATTGATTTGCAAGGTCCTTAGATGCACAATTTTGTCGCCCAAGCATGACCATGTTAATAACACACTCTCCCCTCCTCCATTCACCAACCATCCCCCATTTCCTACCCCCCGCGGGCCCGCAAAAAATTTAGAAAAATGAAAATAAGACCCGCACAATGTTTATTCATTTGTGGCATTATACTCTTCTTTCAATACACACGTTGATTTCATACCTAAATCAACAGCTGCCGGAAATGGTCCTTTAACTACAAATCTCTTGTAATCCCACAAGTCCAGGAATCACCACAAGACAAGAAATCACAAGAAGACCAGGAATCAACAGCATCTGGACTTGTAATCCCTACAAGTCCTGGAATCACCACAAGACACTCCCCACTCATACCCTTGAGAACTCAAGCCTACGTGTTCTTGTCTGTTACTAAAGCAAAATCTTATTTACTTGACATTCCAGGAAACAAGAATAAATAGGTATGAGTCATAATAACTTGCATAGAAGTTAATTATCAAAAAACAAATACTGCAACTGATATATGTTCAAATGAGGCACATTTGCCCTCACTTAAATTTTAATAAAATAATAAACAACTACTGTTTGGCATTCAAAATGCTTCACGGAAAGAGTGTCCCCCCCCTCTCCCCTTCAGAGCACCATTAAAGCTCTAGATCAACAGAAGACGAACTTTTTTACGACTTAGACCAAATAAGCCTATGACAATTCGAAAAAGAGAGCAAGGATTTAAAGTCGCAAGCATCAAAACTACCAGCTACCTGCATTTCCGAGCAAAAACACAAAAGCTTGCCAGCACTGAAAAAAAAAAGATAATTGTGCACTTAAGAAAATAGTCTCTGTTTTCACAGAAAATCTCTGTTTTCACAGAAAAACTGCAGAGAAGTTGTAGCAACATGAATAGTCAGATATAAAGCAATTCTTATTATAGATTTTGAGGCAAAATCATACTTCCTTCCAAGTGAGCTTAGATTACTTTCCAAACAAACAAAAATTGCACATGATGACATTCAAAATTACAAAAAACTTCACTTATGCATGGCAAAGTTTTGATGCACCGAATATTTCAGAGCTACAGCAACTTGTTTAAAAAATAGATGAGACTCAGACCACAGAGAGAGAGAGATCCAACACACGCAAACTACAGAAAGTAAAAAGGGAAGCATAACTGTCAAGCCACGCTGCGCACGGCACAAGAATGACGTGACTGAAGTAGATTTCTCAGTAATAATAGCAACCTGCTGTAAAGTAGGAACTGAATCAAAGCAAAGATGAGCACCGGAAAGATTAATAGGCCAACGCAAGAAGAAAGTTGCGCCTGAAAAGGTAAAATGGCAGTTAGAAGAAGAACAGATTTTGCATGAAGTATGAAAACAATGTTGGATCCTTAATCCAACATTGGACTTATATGTGAATAATTATGTATTGCAAACTGTCAATTAAGATTTAACCCAATTAAAGTGATCAAATATAGTTTGGGTTTAATGTATCTAATTGGATGTGGGCCCTTTAATGTGTAGAAACTTATGGGCTCCTATTTCAATGATGTGCTGAAATAGGGCTCCAAAAGGTAACAGGAATGTTACCTATAAATAGGGTTATGGTCCCCAGGTCACAGGCATCGTTTTAGTTGTCGTATTCCCTAATACCACAAAATATCTCTTTCCTGATATCCCATCGTCATGAAAGATACCAGAGAGAAACTAAAGGCCTCTCTCAAAGGATCAGTAAATACCTGGAAGGCCACCCCAAATCTCTAAGGATACAAGTATCAAGTTTATCAATATGGATTCAGGTACGCTTCCGCTATTTTATCATTTATTTATTTCTTAATAATCGTCATATAGATCTTGGGTTCAATATGTGATGATTTTCACCAATGGTTAAATTTAGATAACCACCCCAACAAGTGGTATCAGAGCCCATATGGTTGATTATTGAGAAATAATTTGGATTCAGTAATTTGTATATATATATATATACATATATATAATTTCTATGTCTCATGAATAAACTCTTCGGTTATATGGTTGTCGGCTGAACAAGAAAATTCTTGGTAATGGCCAATTGTTCACTAATTGGATTCTTGTTCATGTCATGATTGTTTATTTGTGCGGCTTTATGTTTTGGTTTGATGCTTCAGATTTCATGAATTACTGGTTTTGCATTATAAATGAATATGTGGATCCCACCATGATAGACAAGTTAATTTTGTTTCATGTTAACTTTTTTAATTCATGGTTTGTTTGCTTCCGCGGTTTGGGTCATGGTACTTCTGTACTCATGTTTTGGCTTCTGTTTTGGTTTCTCACATGGCAGACATGGGGTTTCCTTTAACTTCTCTATTTTTAAGGATCAAAATTGATAAGAAAGAATGCATGAATCAATTCTGCGTTGGATAGCATAATATTTATGGGATTCGCATGTTTTGGATGATGTAAGCTAATTTGTCTTCTGGCTTCGGGAGGTCTTTCATCCTTTTCCCTGATTTTAAGAATCAAAATTTTGTTTAATTTGTATAATTTTAAATTTGAATATTGGTATGATTATATATATTTTGGAATAAATTAATTGAAATAATATGCCACCAAAGTGACCTCTATTATGGAAATTAATTTATTTTAAAATATAATTAGTTGGGTATTGGTAATTTTATGAATATTGATCGGTCCAAAGGAAGGTCAATATTTGATGAAATTGCTTGTGCACTTGTGGTAATAAATATGTGATACTTATTCATTTTTTTTACATGTGAATTATAAATTGGCCCAAAGAAAAATTTATTTTTTGACATGTTATTATTGCCAGTGTTTATTACTGTGCCAAGATATCATTTAGAAGTTAATATTTTGTCCAAAGCTAAAATATTAATGGAATATCGGTATCTTGAGATGGGGTTACCATTATTTAAATTTATTATTATTTTGATTTATGTGAGCTAGTTTTAATTGTATTATATTTTTTGTACAGTTGCGAATGATCTTACAAATATTACTTCGAACATCAATTATATTCCTATACTGAATGGCACAAACTTCAAGTCCTGGAAAGAAAATCTCTTGATAGTACTTGGAGTAATGGATCTCGACCTTGCGTTAAGAGATGATTCTCCCCCACCGCTTACAGATCAGAGCACCTCTGATGGAAAGAGAAATAATGAGAGGTGGGAGAGATCAAATCGCTTGTGTCTGATGATCATTAAAAAGGCCGTTCCAGAAGCATTCAGGGGAACAATGTCAGAAACGACTGTAACCGCTAAAGAGTTCCTTCAGGACATTGAAAAAAGATTTGTCAAGAATGAAAAGACTGAAGTTAGTACGCTCTTGACACGCCTAGTTTCAATGAAATATAGTGGTAAAGGCAACATCAGAGAGTATATCATGGAGATGTCTCATCTTGTTTCGAAATTAAATGCACTTAAGTTGAAACTCTCTGAAGAGTTACTAGTGCATTTGATTTTAATATCTCTTCCTACACAATTTAGCCAGTTTAAGGTGAGTTACAATTGTCAAAAGGAGACTTGGTCTCTAAATGAACTCATCTCGCACTGTGTAGAGGAAGAGGAAAGGTTGAAACAAGAGCAGACAGAAAGTGCCCATCTGGTGTCAACCACTAATAATAAAAGTAAGGGACTTAAAAAAAAGAAGAAAAAAGGGAGCTGCAGGTACAACGCTACAAAAGAAACAACAAAAGAAATCAAATGATCAGGAAAAGAATAGTTGTTTCTTCTGTGGAGTTGAAGGGCATCAAAAGAAGCATTGCACCAACTATCACGCTTGGCGTGCTAAGAAAGGTATGCTTCTTAATTTGATTTGTTCTGAGGTTAATTTAACTTCGGTACCTAAACACACATGGTGGTTAGATTCTGGTGCAACAACTCACATCAGTGTGTCTATGCAGGGTTGCCTGAATTGCCGAAAGCCTAATAATAATGAAAGATATATCTATGTGGGCGATGGCAAAACAGTTCAAGTTGAGGCAATTGGAGTTTTTAGATTATTGTTAAAGACCGGATTTTATTTGGATCTCTATGAGACATTTGTTGTACCGTCTTTTAGACGAAATTTAATTTCTATTTCTGTTTTGGACAAATTTGGTTATTTTTGTTCATTTGGAAATGGAAAATTTGAATTGTTTCATGATTCAAAATTGGTTGGTTCTGGTTCTTTAATGCATTACGATAATCTATATTTAATTGATACGATTGCCTCATTTAATGAATCTCTGCATTTGAGTACTAGAGGAGTTAAAAGAAAATTAGCCAATGAGAATTCAGCTGCATTATGGCACAAGAGATTGGGACATATCTCCAAACGGAGAATGGAAAGGCTTGTGTCAAATAAAATTCTCGACCCCTTGAATTTTACAGATTTTAATGATTGTATTAACTGTATAAAAGGGAAACAAACCAATAAAAGGAGATTTGAAGCCAATAGGTCCTTAGACGTCTTAGAACTTATACATACAGATATTTGTGGACCATTTCCTATATCTGCTTGAAATGGTCAACAATATTTTATAACGTTCATATACGATTTTTCAAGATATGGCTACATATATCTCATTTCTGAAAAATCACAGTCACTGGACGTGTTCAAAAGTTTTAAGGCTGAAGTTAAGAATCAACTCAACAAAAGAATTAAAAGCGTCAGATCTGACTGTGGTGGTGAGTACTATGGCAGATATGACGGTTCAGGTGAACAACGTCCAGGACCATTTGCTAAATACCCAGAGGAATGCGGTATCGTCCCACAGTACACTATGCCGGGTTCACCCACTATGAATTGTGTAGCTGAAAAACGAAATAGAATGTTTAAAGACATGGTAAGGAGTATGATATGTCATTCTACTTTACCAGAGTCATTCTGGGGTGAAACACTTAAGACTGCAGCATACATCCTTAATAGGGTTCCAACTAAATCAACTATCAAAACCCCTTATGAGTTTTGGACAGGGAAAAAACCCAGTTTAAAGTTGAGGCAAGGCCTTACAGGCCAAATGAAAAGAAACTAGACTCAAGAACGATTAGTTATTATTTTATTGGATACTCTGAAAGATCTAGAGGTTACAAGTTTTATGATCCCACAACTAAGTCAATTTTTGAGACAGAAAATGCTCGGTTCTTTGAGAATGTCGAGTTTGGGAGAGAAAATACAGTAAGAGATATTGTCTTTAAAGAGGAATATATTAATATTCCCACAGGTGTCATTACTCTTGCTCAGGACCCTATTCCTGAATTTGATCATGACATGCCAAATCAAGACAATGTCGAAGAGCAAACTGTTATAGAAGAACAAACTCTTCCTCCTCAAACACCAGTGCCATTAAGAAGATCTACTAGAGAAAGGAGAAGTGCAGTGCCAGATGATTACATTGTTTTTCTCCAAGAACATGAGGATGACTCTGGATTGATGGAAGATGATCCAATCAACTTCCGTCAAGCCATGGAAAGTTCAAATTCTCAAAAGTGGATCGATGGCATGAATGAGGAGATTAAATCCATGAAGGACAATGATGTTTGGGATCTTGTCCCATTGTCCGAAGGTGTGAAACCCATTGGTTGTAAATGGATATTTAAATTCAAAAGGGATTCGAAAGGCAATGTGGAAAGATTCAAAGCTCGTCTTGTCACTAAGGGATTTACACAAAAGGAAGGTATCGACTATAAAGAAACCTTCTCTCCAGTCTCTTCAAAGGATTCTTTTATCATGGCATTAGTGGCACATTTCGATCTTGAGTTACATCAGATGGATGTAAAGACAGCGTTTCTCAATGGTAACATTGATGAGACAATTTATATGGTGCAACTAGAAAACTTTGTATCAGGAGATCCAAAAAATATGGTTTGCAAACTTAAAAAATCCATCTATGGGCTCAAACAAGCGTCTCGACAATGGTATTTCAAATTTCATCAGGTGATCATCTCATTTGGTTTCGAGATGAATTTAGTGGATGATTGTATATACCATAAGTTCTGTGGGAGCAAATATATTTTTCTGGTATTGTATGTTGATGATATTTTGCTTGCCAGCAACGATATTGGTCTATTGCATGAAATCAAGAAATTTCTAACTAAGAATTTTGAGATGAAAGATCTTGGTGATGCATCTTTTGTGTTAGGTATACAAATACACCGGGATCGATCTCGGGGTATTTTAGGACTATCACAAAAGGGCTATATCGAAAAGGTTCTCAAAAAATATGGCATGCAAAATTGTAAATCAGGTGACACTCCCGTGGCTAAAGGAGACAAATTTAGTCTTGAGCAGTGTCCCAAGAATGCTTTTGAGGAAAGAGAGATGCAAAAGATTCCTTATGTCTCAGCAGTAGGGAGTCTAATGTATGCTCAAGTATGTACGCGTCCGGATATTGCGTACATTACTGGGATGTTGGATAGATATTTGAGTAATCTTGGATTAGATCATTGAAAAGCAACCAAACGGGTCTTACGGTATCTACAGAAAACAAAAGACTACATGCTCACGTATCGAAAGTCAGATGAGTTAGAGATCGTTGGGTATACTGATTCCGATTATGCTGGATGCCAAGATACTATGAAGTCAACGTCAGGCTATGTGTACTTGTTGGCTGGAGGTGCCATATCCTGGAAGAGTGCTAAACAGTCCCTCATAGCATCTTCCACTATGGGTGCAGAGTTTATTGTTTGTTATTTTAAATGCTCTTATGATATTTTTCAGTTATTAAGGATTTAAGGATATTTTATGCATAAATAAAATTTGGATTTATTTGCACTCTAACTTTGGTATGGTTTGATCTCATAAAATTTAAGGTGGACCAGTTGGAAATAGGCATGTTTTGATCACATTACATGAAATTTCCATGCTACACATCCACATCATGATTCATGTCATTCAATTGCATTGATATGTGTGACCATTGATGGTTCGAGTTACGAAATTGTAACAAAGGCCGCTTTGATCCTATATTGATGTAATTGATGGACCGAATTGGTTACAGATACATTGTGATAATGACAGTAAAATTGAGCTCATACGGTTAATTGCAAACATAATTATAAGGTTACACATATAGTCCAAGTGGGAGATTGTTGGATCCTTAATCCAACATTGGACTTATATGTGAATAATTATGTATTGCAAACTGTCAATTAAGATTTAACCCAATTAAAGTGATCAAATATAGTTTGGGTTTAATGTATCTAATTGGATGTGGGCCCTTTAATGTGTAGAAACTTATGGGTTCCTATTTCAATGACGGACTGAAATAGGGCTCCAAAAGGTAACAGAAATGTTACCTATAAATAGGGTTATGGTCCCCAAGTCACAGGCATCGTTTTAGTTGTCGTATTCCCTAATACCACAAAATAGCTCTTCCCTGATATCCCATCGTCAGGAAAGATATCAGAGAGAAACTAAAAGACCTCTCTCAAAGGATCGGTAAATACCTGTTGACCTGGAAGGCCACCCCAAATTTCTAAGGATACAAGTATCAAGTTTATCAATATGGATTCAGGTACGCTTCCGCTATTTTATCATTTATTTATTTCTTAATAATCGTCATATAAATCTTGGGTTCAATAGGTGATGGTTTTCACCAGTGGTTAAATTTAGATAACCACCCCAACAAACAAAAATGCGAGTGCTCAATGAACACAGGCAAGACAGAGTAATGCAGCAACCCATTAAAAAAAAAAAGACCTTGAAATTTCTGAAATAAAAAATGATACTTGTTTGAATTTGTTTCGAGGATCAAAGCCTTGGTGTCAAATTAGTTGCCATTAAAGTATGCCTAATCTCATTGCATCTTCCTTGGAATTCAATATTGTAACATAATCAGGAAGCGCAAGAAACTAATAAACTACAGACCAAAAATCAAGTGATTGCAGCAGAGAAACGCGAAAGCCGGCAGTGGCTGTACTTTATCAGAGAAATGCTAACAAAGAAGCATACCATGCTAAACCCCAAAGTATGCCTAATCTCCATTATTCTTGATTTATAAATAAAAATGCTGTTTATTTTGCACACATTTATAAAGATCACCACACCACTTTGTTCTTTAATGTATTTTCCAAAGATATCTTACTCAATAAAGATATGCACTTTCAGATTTTTGAGGGCTATCAAGATGAATTATAACAGAATGCAACTAAAATTGAAACTTTATGTGTCATCCATCTGCTTTCAAATTTTTCAGGATACAATGCATAGCAAATCGCCCATCAAGAATATGTGCAACAAGTCACAATGAAAAATACAATTAAAATAAGAAAGAAACGTAAAGGACTCTTACATTTTCATAATACTTCCCCGAGCTGAACTGAAAAGCGGAAAAAATCCTTTCTACTTGTGAAGTACACAGTACAATAGATCCCATGCCACAAAAACAAAGATACAACAGAATTCTAATAACACAAACACAATATATGGAGAACTATATCTGATCCTGTTAGGAACTATATGCCATATTCCCCTACATCTGTGAAATGTGTCATCACTATGTTGAGCACAGGGACACAAAAACAAAATTCTGTCCCCTGTTTGTTTTTGTCTCAGTGAAAAAAATATGAAAGTGGAAATCAGTTAAAAGACCAATCAACAAAACCATATGATGAGTTGCAAAAATAGCAACAAACTCTCACCAGCTAACTTATGATTGCTTAGTTTTCTCCTTCAAATAAGCGAAATTTCTTTGAAAAACCAAGATTGCCCAAACCAAATGCATATAAAAGACAGTTAGCGCTCTGCCACAAAAGAAAGTTACTCAATCGAGTCTCACCTGAAGTCTGTATAATTATATCAGGATCAGGTGCAACCGCAGCATATATATTTTTCTCTAAATCCTTGACTACGATTGAAGGCTTGCTCTTGTCATTCTTGTTTCCTTTCAGAAAAAGTAAACCATTTCCAGCTCCTTTTGACTCCAATGCACTTCCTTCATCCCATTTTTCTTCACAACACTCTTGAACAGCATGCAAAATTTCATCTGAGGAAGTGTAGGCAAGACAAATTGACAGCACAGCTTTTGAATTCCTAGAAGTAGCAACTACGGCCCTCTCTGCAGCCAACCTTACCGGCTTGCTCAAAAGTTTAAGACTGCCTAGAAAGTAAATCCTAACGCCATACTGATTGACCATGCTCTCCTCCTCAATCAAATCTTCAATTTTCTCTAGTATCAACCGCATAGTGGACTGAACTTCTTCAGGACGTCTTCTAAAATTGTCAATGTTGAAGGCGTAAATTGTAACATACTTCACACCTAACTCATAACAGTATTTAAGCATGTTCATGAGAGCTAAACGGATTCTGGTCAAAATCGTATATTTCATATCCAACCCACTTTTTTGTTAGAGTAAATGAGTACGAGTCCGAATCTAGGTAACGAGATTATTTCTCAATCCGTACCTGATCCAAACTAGTGGGTCCAAGCCCGAGTCCAAACCCGGATCGTTGACAGCCAAATCCACGGTTTCCACATCCCAAGTATGTCCTCCATAGGTATCATTGTTTTTGGGAACTTCGATTTAGTCTTCTCTGCAGATCCGGCTTCATCTATTTCTCCCTTTTCAAGCATGGTGTTATCCTCTTCTTCCTCAGATCCATCATAGAAAAGCTGTTTTTGTAGGAGGTCTTCTATTAAACAAATGTAAAATTAAATAGTTAGGCAAGAATTTGGATGGACCCAATTTGTGACTCACTCATAGACTGAGTGATGTATTAGTTTCCGCATCATCAACCATCATGTTAATCAATTCTAAATGTAGCACCCCATTAGATCTTCTACTAACAACAGGGACTAAATAAATCCACAGGATCAAAAAGAAAATGCATTCCAATTCAGGGACTCAAAACATTTATGGAAAAATCTTTCAAAACATTTATCATATTTCGTCAAATGAATTTTTTCATTCTTCACTTTTAAAATGGTAAATTTATATCCTTTATAAAATTATATTGATAAAATTTGGTCCCAACTTAAACTTTTTCCCAAATGAGTCTGGACCACTTAGCATGAAAAGTAAGAAATAAAAGTGGAGGTGAGTGAGTCAGTGGAACTGAAAGGTTCTTCTTTGGGGGCAAGATCCACTCCTCGACTCTGTCCCAGAGCTGGTAGTTTGGATGTAGCGCCAATATCAAGAAGTTCAGCAACCAAGAAGCCATTGCACGCCATCTAAAAAGAAATATTTACTTTGTTCAGAATAACGATCGTCAATGTCCTTCACAGCAAAAGAAACAGCTTAACAACAAACGTAATTCCAAGTGGCGTTACTCTCATCAGAGAGATCAACTGTCAGACGAGAAAATAATGAAACTTGGCCTTTATCAAGCATTTTCGTATCCTTGGTTGAACATTTACAAACCGTAGATGTACAAGATTAATGTATTTCATAAACCTAAACCCCTAGAATACTACTTCTTTGCTTTAGCAAACCTAAGGCAGCGATATTTCTCTCCACTAACTGTAATTTCAAGAGCTCCATCTTGATTATCTTGATTTGATGCAGTTCCCATCAGCACACTTTTCTCTTTCTCAAGGTTTTCTCTTTCCAGTTTTAATCTAGCTTCTTGCCGGGCAATCTCCGCCTGAAATAGAAACATCGTTAAGTAAGAAGTTTAAAGAAATGCTAAACCTTAAAAACTACTCTCATAGTAAATTCCGTAGTGTGGTGGAGATAAATGTTGAGCTACAAGGTATGAAATTGACTTCAATTTGACAAAGTAACATGGATTTGAAGTAGGGGTGCAGAAAGACAAATGAAAGAACAGATGCGCTCTCATACAATCCATCATAGTCCAAATTGATCGGCCTAGGCAATCCAAGAGTATAAAATTATTACGACATGGAATGGAAGACTCTGGAAAGAATACTGCTATAATTGGACAAAAATGTTTCTGTCTTTGTAGCAGTCAACATAAAGACTTGATTTGACTCTTTCTTGAACTTGGAATCTCCCAAGATCTCAACCAGTCCAATTCTTCATAGAAGGAAAAACAAGTATGAGTGGCCTTAATCTAAATTCCTATTTCAACAATTTTGAACCTCTTGCAACCCCCACTTCACAAACTGTTTGATAATATTAGTTGACACTGGACTATCGGTAGTAGGTTTACTATGAGAACAAGCTCATTTAGTTACAACCCACTAGAATAATCCAATAGATACTAAAGGAGTATGCTTCTTGAAAAATGTTTCCTGGCAGATCCTATGTAGAAGAAATTCACAAAGCTCCTCTGAGTTCATGTGTTCAGCCTGTGCATAGTTTGTGAAATAATCAAGCAACTATTGCCTGCACGAAGCCCCAACCCAAAAATCATGCAGACTCCAGATTCATAGAGTGTTACCCAGGTTCAAAGCTTCGTCTGTGAAGCTTCTCATAAAACCTCATTGCAGGCTTCTTAGTAGAATATTTACAAAGGATGGGTAATAGAAGAAGAAATTGAGCCTCAAATTACTAGCATCAAGAACCAAGCCTGCTTAGAAGATCAAAATATAATCTCTTATTGACTAGTTCAGCAGTTGATCAATGCTCTGTGGAAGGAAAAGAGACAGGGAAACAGGACATAAAAGATTTCCAAGCAAAACGGCTCCACATCTTTAGAAGTTTTAGAAGCAAAGATCAGAAAAGAACGAAATGATGATGAAAAAAGGCTCACATAACAGGCCACTTGTTCATGTTTGGCAATCAATGTTGCAATAAACATCATGTATTACAGGATCAAACAGGATTTCAATAAAAACCACTTGCAAAGCTTGCTTCATATCAGAATGAAATGCATGTTATTCTTTCATTTTTCTATTGCTTTTTCCTCTCTCACTTCTTTTTCTTTTTTCTGAGTTGCAGCATTTGCCAAAATCTCATCAGCAGCCTTGACCAGATTAAGGCAACATGGTGAGTTATACCCAACAAAAGTACATCAATCAACTCTAAAGTTCAAATTGTTCAAATATAGCATCAACACCAGTCAAAAACCAACCAAAAAGGGGCAAAAGTCGACTATTATAGGTGATGGTGCCAACATAGCATACTCATCTCCATTCCAACCACCAAAATATCACCATATAAACGGTCCTCTTATCACCGTATATTCCTCTCCAAGTCTGCATCTTTCTACAACATCCCCTTTAACAAATTCAATACTATAATGAGCTTTCTAAAACCACTCCAATCCAGTTGTCAATTAACAGTCAGCCAAAAAATTGTCCAAAGATGAGCATCCTAAATCCATCCTCATTGTCATTTGAAACCCAATTAAATCAAAAGGCCAGCAAACCTGCCACCTGATACAGCTGCTGCTATCAACCCAAAGACAAAAGCAAATGGAGGGGGAACAGACAAAGAAACTGACTATGCAATCAATCTAATACCTACTAGACTATACCAATAGACTATTACTACATTTATAAAGAAGGAGAACGGGATTGAGTTAAAAAGGAAAGAATATAGTGGCAGCATCTTTTCAAACAAAAAAAAAACATATAGCCAATTACCAATTAGTGGGAAATCAATTGGGAAAAATCGAAACATGATGAATTGGAGATAAAGAAAGCAAATCAACAAATGACAATGAACTTGGAGTAGGGAATGCTATGCTAAATAAAAGGTGATTTACAGGTTTACGGTGGAGGGTTGAGGGGGAGGGGTTGGGGTAAAGTACCTCACGACGAGAGAGTTCGGCCTTCCAAGCGGCTTCACGCTCGGCGACCTCGCGTTCCCGCTCCTCAATGTAACTCTGCATCTCCCTCTCTTTCATGAGTCGGTCCTGTATGTCCGCGTCCAGAGCCTCCTTTAGCTCGTGCACAAATTTGTCCACCACCGCCTTTATTCTTAGAGACATTTTTATCAATTCTAATTCAATTAACCCCAAGCTGCTCTGCTGCTTAGTGCTTTCTCTGACGACGACGGCAATAACCAGACTTTTCTTAATTTCAACGCCCCAAACTATCAAATTACGAATCCGGAAGAGTTGCTTGTTTTGACTTCTTCTCCCTGTTTGCGATTCACAATTACCGCCACAAAGAGCTCCATTTCATAAATACTACTGCTTAATTAAACTTTTTTTGGGTTAGGGGTGGGTTTTTTTGTTAGGGGGGGTTAGAGATTAAAATTGGAAAATGAAAGGTAAAAAACCCACCAAGATGAAGTAGAATTTGCTAATGTGGAGGAAGGAAGAAAGGAGAATATGAGCTCAGATCTGTTGCGGGGGGAATTTGGGGTGATTTATGGTCAGTGGCTTACCACTCTTTCACTACCTACTTCCTATGTTTTCAGATGCGGACTGGGAATCAACTTGGCCAAACTCAGGGGTCCAGGGTCACTACAAAAGCAAAAATTGGTTGATAAAAGATGGAGACAGAAGCAATTATCACTACAAAAGCCAAACACACTGATAGCAATTATCTGCTTTATATTATAAACTATTATATTATGGTTGATAGTTGATACCTTTAGTCTTTGGTCATATACTTAGAACAATTGTAGGCAATGTGTTTTTGCTGTTCCTTGCCCAATTAGGCCATTGTAGTCAACTAAATCAATCCATAAAAGAATTAATTAAGTTAACCCCACTCTGGAAAGAATATAAGGAATAGCACTAGTCAAACTTTTTCATTAAGTATCTACATCATCGAGGACAAGTGTATCTTCTGTGCTAAATTCTTGCTAAACAGAAGAAAAAGCCAGGAGTGAATTTATTAAAACAGCCCCAGGATATGATATGAAAGGTCATAACCTACACTTTTCTTTCTTTAAGATTGCTTTTAACAGAATATATGATACTTTCTGATCACAGTGCTGCTTTTGCACATGGATGATTAGGAATACAAAGTACAAACTTCGCAACACAGATAGAACATTCCACCTCTAAGCCATTAAGCAGCAAGGTTAATTTTGATTACCAAAAGAAGAGAGATTCAATAAATTTTTTTCTTTTTTTTTAAAAAAAAGAAAGATCATAATATAGTTATTAGCTTGACCCAAAGAGACTAGAAGTTATGAAATTTGCCTTGGATGTTCAATTTGCGTTCTGGCATAGCAAACTCAAATGGGTCTTTACCTATTAATCCACTCAAACATGCACAATCCCACCTCATTAAACAATTAGAAACACATTAATTTAATTTCTATCATCTCTAACTGCAATCCGTTTACCAATTGATAAACTTTCAAACTTTCCCAATAACAGAAAACCAACTAAAGCAAACCTTATAAACTTGGAAAAAATGTTTTGATTGAAGTAAGCTACTAATTGTCTCCACTAACTCCTGTTGCTTACTCTCTAGCAACTCATTTTCACTCTCTAGCAGTGGAGGCTTGAAGTTGGCATCCAAAAATTACACCAAAGGAGCAGGGCAATCAGAGATGGTGAAGTCCGGAGGAGGTGCACAAGCCTGGTGGTAGCGGCGCTACGGCGGCGGTGGACTGGTAGAGGAGCTAGGGTTACGAAAACAAACGGGAAGACAGAATATATCGTTTGGTCGAGTTTGCTATTTTCCCAGATTTTTTTTTGCCTCTTTTTCGCTTATTTAGTTGGTCAAATGGAAGACAAAGTCAAGGAAGCTGTAAAAAAAAATTAGGCAAAAATAGAAAAATCGGGTTTAATAAATTATACCGGTTCACCTGTCAGACCTTAGTTTTGACTGGATTTTACCGAATATATTCCTTTCGTGTTTTTAATCTGAATTGGACCGGCTATCTGGCCAGTTCCCAGTTCGATCGATCCGTCCGGTCCAAGTCTAAAACACAGCCTACTTCACCAACTCCCGTGTCGACTGTGGTCCTAGGTGGTTGTCATTTGTATTCTGTTTCCATTTCTTATTGGGATAATTTCACAAACCTCCCGTGAGGTTTTAACAATTACATTAAGCTCCTCTTAGATTTTAAAGATTACACAAACCTCTCTTATTTTTACTATTTAGTAACAACGAAGGTCCAACAAGATAGATTTTCTCACAAAATTCCTAAATTGCCATTTGTTCAAAACTAAGAAATAACAATATAGTATACTCAATCATTGTCTTTCACACTTTGCATAAATTAACAAATATAATCCTTAACAACCATCAAAACATAAACTCTAAAATCAAGTAGCCATTCAAAAAATTTCAAATTGCATATACAGTATCAATACTTGCTATGCAAAAAAGAAAAAAACACACACACAAACCCCATTGACAACCAATTATACTCCAAAATTAAATATCAATGCTCAAATACCTTTTTAACACAAGCTAATCTGGCTTAGAACCGCGATTACAACCCTCCTATGGTGTTAAAAATATTAATATCTCAAAAGTAGAAAATAAATTCTACTTTCATAGTAAAATCATAATAAAAATTTCTAATCAATGAAAGAAATCCTCATGTAATTATTGGCATTTTATTAAAGTTTTTCTTGACAATAAACAAAATATGACAAATTCCACAATTTTAGTTCTTCTTCATATTTCAATCATCTATTTTATTATTTATTTCTCTATCATTACGGGTCTCTTCATTTCCTTCTGATTTCATACATAATCTGCTCTCTCTGTTGATTTTGTAATTTCAATTCACTAATATCTACAAAATTGAAGATAATAAAAAGAGGTTATATTAATTAGAAACGAGAGGAGCGAAATAGACAAGAGACAAAAGAATAGATTTTCTTGTGGATTTTGTAAATTTATTGCCTTATTGTTTGCTAAGTGGAGGGCATTATAGGTATTTTACTATACCAAGAGAGGCAAGTGTAATTTTTTAAACCTAAGGGGAGCCGAGTGAAATTGTTCAAAACCTCAAGGGAGGTTTCTGAAATTATCCCTTTTTCATTTTGGAATAATTTCTCAAAGCTACCCTGCTGTTTGGCTTAATATCACTTAGCATCCCTATAGGTTACTAACTTGATAGAGCTAACACAAGTGCAGTCCCACCCCCACCTGTCTTATGTTTACCATAGACAAATTATCCACTTCTTTTCTTCACTTTTGCTTTGCTTTTTCTTTATTTAAAGCAAAGCCAGACTAACCAGCCATGCACTTTGTTACTAACTTGATAGAGTTGCTGGCTATCAACTCCCGAACTCAAGTAAGTTTTCAAGTTGTAATTTCTGTCAATTATTTTGGTTATATGCAACACTAACAACTTATAATTCAACATGTTTTTTTGCTTTGCTTTAAGTTAAAGAAAAAAGAAGACAAAAATGGAGGGAGAAGTGATACATAAAAAGAATTTGAAGGTGGAAATTCCAGGAGAAAGTGAAATGGCTTTTCCGGCGGTGGACAAGCTATGGAATCTTCCAGTAGTTTAAAGATACATCATGTACCCATAACAGAATATTTGTCACTTTCTACCACTTTCATTCCCTTATTTTGTATGCACACAAGGCTTAAATCACCTCATTCATGCCAATCTTCTACAAATATTTCTGTTTTTTGGTTCACAAGTAATGCCATGAACTAATAGTCACTCTCCCGTAAGAGAGTCAGACAATATCAGTACTCCTTCCATGATGTAAGAATATTAGCTATCTAACTGGGCAAAGAGACCATGGTGTACTTTTCTGATACCTTGTACTTCAATATTTTCGACAGGTGTCAGGCATAAAAATAAATGATTTTGAAGAAGATTTTGAAGAAGAGGGAGTACAGAATGTGACAATAAAAAGTGTTACATTCAGGAATACACAGAATGGTGCAAGGATTAAATCATGGGGTAGGCGGTTTTGTTAAGGATGTTTTGTTCCAGCATGCCACTATGATTAATGTCCAAAACCCCATCATTATTGACCAGAACTATTGCCCAGATAACATCAACTGTCCTGGTCAGGTAAACTTCTGCATATATAAATTATTTACTAGGCATTATTGATATTGAATGTATTTGACATTTCTATCCAAGGAATAATTATTGATATTGAATGTATTTGACATTGCCCAGATAACATCAACTATCCTGGTCAGGTAAACTTCTGCATTTATAAATTATTTACCAAGCATTATTGATATTGAATGTATTTGACATTTCTATCCAAGGAATAATTAAAGTAAACATAGAAAGCTTGAAAGTCTGTCTAGTTTTATTTCCTAGCTAAAGATAATGAAGAATTTGTGTTAACATTTTTTCCATTTGAACAAAAGAAAGCAAAGCATGAAGATGGACAATTAAGTAAAAATCCCTTTCTGCATATTTCAAAATACACAAAATTTTCTGATAACTTGTACTTCAATATATTTGACAGGTGTCTAAGTCTGTATTGAAGATTCGACTTGCATTTTGGAGGATTTGGTGGTGACGTTAAGTTTAGGGTCTGGATTTGATTTGGTCTTAAGTGCAGGTTGATGAAATTGGAACTTGAAATCATGGAATTCCATTATTTGCACACATATGCAACTAATAATCAGGGCCTAATCAGTCGAAGCCTCATAATATGTTCTCCTCTATATCTTGCTGTAGATTCTCACACACACACACACAAAGAAAACAGCTATGATCTAAAGCCCCAATCTATTGCCAACTCTCAGTTTCTTTAGTGTGTGGAATCTTACTCTAGGAAGCAACAGGCAACTGCATGGCACTAAATACTAGTTACAGCAGCAACTACACCTACAGTTGAGGTTTCAGATGCTGAAAAATACACTTGTTCCTTGCCTGCCAAAGAAAGTAGATTGTTATAGGAAAAGCAAGCCTTTTAACTATGTGACCAAAGGAGTTTGTGCTGCAATGTTTGCACCACCACTGAACCTCCTCTGTCCAAGTGATTGTGCCTAAATAAAGTAAACAAAGATTCTGAACCTTATCCAACACTGCTCTAGAAAATTTGCAGTCTAAAAACCTCAAGGAACCTCTAGGCATCCGAAAAATAGAACAAAGGTCGCTTCTTAACTCCTCATAGACACAGCAAGAAACACATTATATTCTTGAAAATTAGGTCAAATACCAAATAAACTTTTAAACTCTAAGATAGTGTCCTTAAGTACCCCAAAAGAATGTGAAGTTGACATACAAAAATCAACCAGCCAAATCATCTTGTACCAATGCTGCTGGAACTACATCAGAATCCATCCCTCGCAGCTTGCGCATATTAATTTGTCAGTCAAGAATGGTAAAACCCCCAAAACTCAGCAGCCAAATTAATTCATTAGCGTCAATCAAATCAAATGTAACCCTAATCAGGTAAGAACAAACTAAAACAAAAGCAACTCACAAAAATTCATTCCAACCCAACTTCAAGAATCTACACCAGTAATTCTAGACAATTTTTCAAAGGAAAAGGGAGGGAAAAAAACTAATAAGTGACCATCATACCTCTGGAAATACTTAAGGAGTTTTCGACCTTGTTGGAGATGCTGTTGCAGGAATGGGGACGAGATGTCACTGCCAGAGTGGGGAAGAGCCGTTGATATTGGCTGCTTTTAAAGGAAAAAAAATTAGAGAGAGAGAGAGGGAGATGATAATTTAGATGATTTTTAAAAAGAGAATAACCTAATTGAAAGAGTAGCCTACCTCTGAAAGTGAGTCTTCGCCGGAGTTGGATATGCTGCCGGTGATGAAGGGCTCGGTTTGCCAATGGATCTTCAACCGTTTGAAGGCTGTGAAAAGAAGAGGCCGTGATTTTAAGAAAGGTAAATAACTTCAGAACGGTAGAATATTATTCCAAATACTCTAGCACTTTTTCCCTGTAGCATTTTATTTTGAAATAATTACTGTAACACTTTTTATGATGCATTATATATGAGATAAAAGAATAATTAAAAATATTTAAAAATAGATTGAAAATATGTTTATGATATAAATTAAAAATTATTTTAAAAAAATTTTCTATCCAAACTTCTCGGTGTAAGTTATTTTCCGTTAGAAATTATTTTTTCAAATTAAATTGTGTCCAAACAGTAGAATAGAAAAACATTTAATGTTTTCCGTCCAACCAAACAGACTTAAAAAAATATTGGATTTTTTTTTTGACAAACAAAAGGACCTGACCCTACTTCCGGCCTAACCCTTATTCGAGTTGTTGGGTTAAAAAAATGTTGGATTTGGTTCGATAACAATTGTAACAATTATATAAATAATGAATGTAATTCAATAATAGAGAAAATGCACAATACACAAAATGCCAAAAACAAAACCAAAACTACAAAAATGAGAGCTCTAAGTGTGCTTGAAAAAATAACCACATCAAAGGAAAAAAATTATTCAGATCCCACGTGAATGCACACTAAATTGGAAGAAGAATAGGGTGAGCATGCAAGGGCATAATAGAAATTTCACCATGATTATAAGCTTCTTCTACTAGTAGCTGTTACCAAACAATGATTATCTTCATTTAAAGCAAATAGAGTGATTAAGCTGTAACAAAATCTTCCACCGCATAAAAGTATAAAGTTGTCGATTCATTCACATTTATAACTTCACCTGCTTGTGCAACTTGCACAAATATATCCACCCACAAATCAAAATACCTATATAGCCCCAAAGACACTTGCCCCAAAACAAAGACAGAATAAGTCCACACAGCAGAGCAAATAAGTAAATTTATCCCAACCCTCAAAATTAACAACTTGCACCACATGCAACGTTTATTTCCTGCCAAAATTTCAAAGACAAATAACTCCAAAATCAAGCAGTCGAAAGAGCCTAAATTCACAACACAAATGACCCCAAACTCAATCTTATATGAGCATGTGATATTCACACGAAGCTGACCAACTGGTTCCAAGAAATCGATTTCATTTTGGCATACTGTCAAAGACTCAAGCAATTCGCCATATGAGATCTGATCATCTAGTGAAACATAAGTTGCAAGTTTGACTACAAGTCCGAGATTCAAACCTATATACTTGTAGTAAAATTCAAAGGGTGTGTAATAGTACACCCCTTTAGTCAATAGATGGGATCCTCTACCTCTAGCCTCCCATGGCCAAGCTGAGTCGTTTTCAAGCGTTAGTTAGATTAGGAATAATAATGTAGAATAAAATCCAAGTATGTAATAATGCACTCCTTCGATCAAAAGATGGAATTCTCTACCTCTAACCACCCCTCATTGCCTGGTTGAGTCCCCCCTTAGTGTCTGTTATAGTAGGAATAATGTAGCTATTGCCTATTATAAAAAAATTAAAATAAAATTTTATATAGTCAAGACGAACTCAAATTCTTAGTCAAATGTTGCCAAAAAATCATTAATTGGGAAAAAGGGTAAATTTGGATTTAAGAAGCCTAAAACAGTTACCTGTCGGCTGCTACGTTATAGTAGTTAGCTGTTTTTGTGTTTGGGGGTTGTGCCCCCACTCCCCTTGGGGGAAGGGGAGGCGAGATTCAAATTCTAATGGCATTTGAAAGGAAAATTAGACAAATTCTCAAGGGTTTGGGTAACAAAAATGTACCTCAATTATAGTGCGTAATTTTATTGTAAACTTGAAAATAACCTTTGGTTTTTCATGAGCAAAACTTGAAACACACACACACACACATCTGATGACCCAAAACTTTAGAAATGCTTCAACCTGCTATCACCATTGTTTTCCCCATTCTCTCATTTTTCTAAAATACTACCAAGACTATCAACAAATACGTGCATGGTGCAATATCTGTCAAAGATGCCAAATCAAAAAGGGTAAATTACATTTTACCCCCCTGTGGTTTACCCTTTTTTTACATAACCCCCCTATGGTTTCAAAAGCTATACATAACCCCCTCATGGTTTGGATTAAAGTGTCAAAGTAACGGAAATAGTCACTCGTAACGGAACTTCTAAAAATGTCGAAATTACCCTTATAAATACATGACACATTAACCCCCTATGATTTTTATATTTTACCATATAACCCCCTTATGGTTTAATACTTTACCATATAACCCCCTTATGATTTTCAAAATATACACATAACCCCCCTCGATTAATACATAAATTTCAACCTTACATAAGGGTATTTTTGATATTTTAGGTGACGCCGTTACGAGTGACTATTTCCGTTACTTTGACACTTTAATCCAAACCATAAGGGGGTTATGTATAGCTTTTGAAACCATAGGGGGGTTATGTGAAAAAACGCTAAATCACAGGGGGGTAAAGTGGAATTTGCCCAATCAAAAATTGTTCACGAAAATCCTCTAGAGACAGAGGTTGGATTACACAGATAAATGCATGTATAGTAAGTCATGATTGTTTCCACCACCATTTCCGTTAAATTTAACGGGTTCCGTCACCTTTACAATTTAGTTCAAAGCATGAGGTGCCATGTTGTATATTTTGAAACCATAAGGGGCTTTTCTGTGTATTAGGCTTACCACAGGGGTTTTTTTTGTTTTTTACCCTTTTAGTAATAAGCAAAAAGAAATTTTTTGCTTCACTTTTAGAAAATAATTAAACAAGATTAGGAAATAAGGGGGAGGGTTGGGTGGTAAGACAAATGGATTGTAAGTAGGAGGTTCTGAATTCAAACTTTTGCATTTCCAAAAGACAAAAAAAGATTTGGAAATGAAATTCTCAATTCAAGGGTGAAAGGTAATTTTCTTGGAAAACTAAATAAATAATGCTTTGTTAACAATGCCTGATGAATCTTGATTCTATACCATTATGAATAGATTTTGAGTATTTCGTATTTGAGATTAGACAAATCAATCATTCTATTTTTTTGCTTGTGCATATTCCTAAAACTAAAGTCGAAAAGCCCTAAATCGGTGGCAAACTTTCACTTAATCTATTGGGGTGTTTGTAGCTTCTTAATTAGGACGTTCGATTCCATGTTTGTTTTTTTTCCCCTAATGATCAATTCTCAAAATATTAGGAACGCATTCAACAATAGAACTTTTCGTTATATAAAAACGTAAATTAATTTACATTTGTGTCAGAAATTATAGTTGTTTAGAAATTTTCGTGTTATGTGTTCTTACCTCTCTAACTTTTGGATTTTACTTGTGTTCTTCTATTTGTTGTATTTAATTATTGTTCACTTTGTGCTTTGTTTTTTCAAGCAGGAGAGGGGCAGGACTTAAAAAAGCAAGAGGAAAAAAGAGAGAATGGAACCCCTCCCAAAATCTTTAAATCTTGAAATCTCAACCTTAACTAGTAGATCAAAATCTATAATTCATTTTGTGCTTACAGTCATAAATCACATAATTAATTTTAGAGTAAAATTTCACTTAGCCTATTGAACTATTTTTGTTCTCATTAACCCACTAGACTCTTTATGATTAATTATGAGGCTAACTCCGTCAACTTCAACTGTTAACATTATTACATAAATATGGTCACTTACCTTGATCAGATAAGGTATATATCAATTTGAGTTAGTTATTGAACTTAATATATTATTGCTTACCGGAGGCTGATTTTACAGGTTGGAACAACTTGGTCAGGATCAGCAAAGGTGTACAATAATTTAGTGGCTGATTTTGCAGCTTCCAGTTCCACAAGAGGAAGAACCAATAAAAAGACCAACAAGCTTCCAGTTCCATTAGTCAAGCATTTCCTTCTAAGGTTGGGTTGGTAGATGTTTACGCGTTCTTCAGTCCTCTGAAAGACCAACAAGACTTTCGAGTCATAATTTCTTCCAAAATAGGGAGTACAATATATTACTGTGCTACCAACATTCTTTTGATTCTTGGTCCCCGTAATCTGCACTCCAATTTTGAGAACTTTGCACTTCATTTCATTTTCTGCCCGCCAGATTGACGGACCGAAGTAGAAATTTCTTATCAAAAACATGAAAAACAACAACAATAAATGCGCTCAAAATAATAACTCAATTATGGGCTTTGATAATATAACGAGTTGCTTAGAAGAATGTAAGAAACCTCTAATATAATGAGTTTAACTAGGCTTGATCGCATACTTGACGTTTTACACCAGTGGTGGAGCCAGAAAAAATTTTTCAGTGGGGGCAAAAGCAACTCTAAAATTTTTTACCTACTCTTTTTTCAGTTTTTTAAGGAAAAAAATATTCATCAACAAGTACAAATGATACATATATTTCATGAAAAAATCAAAAGACAAACTCAAAATTATTAATGTAATAATAATTTTATTTCAAAACAAACTAAACCATTTATAATTGCTCATAGCGAGTTTTCATATTTTAATAACAGTTTATAACCTTTTTATTTTGAACTTCACGAAGTATATTTTTCTCAACAAAAGTAACTAATAGATACACAAAACTCCAGGGGGCACACTTGAAATTACATCAAATTTTTATAGGTATTATAGAAATTTAAAAGGGGCAGTGGGAGCCTATAAACCAATAGATACACAAAACTCTAAGAGACACAGTTGAAATTACACCAAATTATTATAAGTATCATAGAAATTTAAGGGGATGAGTGGGCCGTGCCCCCAGTGTCCCAGTGTGAATCCGCCACTGTTTTACACCTGAGTTGACTTGTCTCCGGTCTCCGGCCCTGCGTTCCAGTACATTGATAAGCGATTATAAATTATCCTGCCTTCCATTTTCATTACAACACTTTCCTTCACTAATTCTCCATACTGAAATCATGCGCGGTCATTCCATTCTGATTGCCTCATGGGCTGTCGTTGTATCAATAATACTCAATGGAGGACTACTTTGCTCAGGTTGCTTTTTAGAAGAAAAACATGCTCTCTTGGACTTCAAAGCTTCCTTAAATGTGACTACAAATGCTCATCTTATCCTTTCTTCGTGGACTGGAAAAGAAGGTGACGGAGCAAATGCTGATTGCTGCACCTGGGAAGGGGTCAAGTGTAGTAATATTACTGGGAGAATTGTTGAAGCCGACCTTAGTTTTTTGCGAGAGAATATGGATGAGGATTGGTATGTAAACATTAGCACTTTCATACCTCTGAAGGACCTGCGAACTCTAGACCTGAGTAATAATTACTTCAATAGTGAAGTGACAGGTAACTACCCTTCCATCTTTTTCTCAAATCGTTGGTTTATATTGTATAATTTGAAGTTTCTTGTTCTTGGTTACACAGGCAACAAGTAATTCATCTTTCTTCATCATCTTTTCTTTTTTCGTTCTAGCCTTACTTTTGGTATTCTTGTCCGCAGCTTGAGGCAAGTTTTTCATATTTCTTCATCTTTTTTTCTCGGCCTTATTTCTTTTAATTTCTCATGTATTATAATTGTAGAAGACTCAAAATCCCATAAAAACTGACGATAGTTTAATTAAGCAGGAAACTATTTTGCATTAAATTTTAGCTGTGAGTTAGTCATTTGCACCCCTTCAAAACAACAAGAATTAATATATCATAAATTGAAAGAAGTCAAGAAAAAATAGCAATTAAAAAAATAGATCGTACAGGCATAAAACATCAACCTATCGTGATGGATTAGGAGCAATAATTAAGGAATGTATACATGAGTAAAATTGATGACTCTAAGAAAAAAAACAGGCAATTTATGTGGAAAAAAGTGAATGGATCGAGAGAAAAAAAAAAAAAGATATTGCATTACAAAGTATACTTTTTTTTTTAATTTGAATTACTCTCGCTTCTTACCATCATTTTCTTTTAGTCAATTAGCAACCAAGTTTTACTTCCACGTTTTTTGATAGTGTGTCTTATTTATTTATCAAATAGTTTTCAATTCAATGGGTGACCGGTTACAAATTAGTTTGTGTAATGTACAACAATTTTACCACTTACATCAAGTTTTATGCATAGTCGTTAACTTTGAAAACAAAATCGAAAAGCAAACATTCATATCTTTGCCGACGTGGAAAGTATAAAAGTGTGATAAATTTTAAATCTTACATCATTTTATTTAGAGTCAAATATCGAAAACCTCTTTTGGTAGAAGGAATAGATCAGCTCCCTTTGGATGATGCTGCCGGCAAGAACCATGGTGGACCGCTGCAAAGCTCTAATAAGTGTTTCTTTTGCCAGAAATCAGTAGGGAAGAAGAAGCTTTATTATGAAATTTAATTTTTGCGATGATGTCATTTTGGAATTATATTTGACACCAAATTTTGTCTACAATTTATATATGACTTGGTTCAAAGGTCGATTTGATTATTTCATCATTGTTTTTCTATTAAAAACTTTAATCATGCTCGATTATTAAATTTAATAAAAAAAAAAAGCTAACAGTTTCACTTTAATCCAAAACCATGCGGGTTAAATGGTACGTTTTCAAATTATTGGGAGGAAATGTGTATATTGGATTAGCCAAAGGGGTTTCTTTGGCATTTAGTCCGTTTATTAGAATCTGACTCGTGCTTTGCAGGCTGCAGGAATTGGGCTAAGTTGCAAAATCTCAAGTCCTTATACCTCGATTGGAACAATTTCAACAACAGTATAATTCCATGTATAAGTGCAATTACTGAACTTAAAAGGCTGTCTCTCTCTAATTTGAATTTAGAGGGATCGTTTCCTATAGAAGGTATATTCACTTGCTATCTATAATTCTTATAGGAGACTTTCTTTAACCTTTTTACACAATTTTCTTGGACTTTACGTCTGTTCTATTTTTTGCTTTTCTACTTCGTTTGTTCAGCACATAGAAATAAATGAATATCTAAACTTAGAATGATTCAGCATTATTTATTTGTAATCTATTTCAATTAATAGCTCTTAAATGTGAAAATTACAAAGTATCTTATTTGTTTTTCCTTTTACCGTCACAAGTATGGGATTAGACGGTAACTTAATTTACATATCCAAGTATGGGTAGTTGTTTGAAAGATGCTAATTAGTTAATCTTTTTTTTTTTTTTTTGTAGTTGTGAGAGATGTTGCATATGCCAAAATTATAAAGCATAGATATACAGAAAAGATAAAATTGTAGAATCCATTAGCATGAGAGTTGTTGGACCGCAATCTGCCCATTCAAGGAGTTCTAATTGGATCATCTTCTTGCTGCAGAATTCAAGCGTCTGGAAAAATTGGAGTTTCTTGACTTAAGCGGTAATCAGCTTTCTGGTTCCTTGTCCTTTAAAGGTACGCATATCCAGTTTGAGATAAAAGTGTATATAGGACAAAGCTGTTACATGATTTGGAGTATAACCATTAAGGATGGGACAGAACTATCTGTATACTTTTCCCTATTTCTATAATTTGATGTTATATTTTGTCCAAATTCCAATAAGAAAATAAATTCCTAAAAATTAACAAATTTGCCTAAATTTCTAGATTAGCTGTACATACAACTTTGTCTACCACATGATAAACGTCCCCTTTGTCTACCATACAACTTTTTACTACCAAATGACAAAGCTTCCCCTGCAGAGTGTGCAGCTCACATGCAATGAATTTTGTCTATTTTAATCGAGCAAATGGATAGAATAGCCCAATTTGATCCTTTTTAGCTGTTCAATGGATCAATTGACGTGAAAAAAATAGTATAGTTGACCTGTGGCCTAATTTACCTTGTTTCAAATATACAAATTCTTATAGAATAGGGGATGGAGATGCAACAATAGTTATGTAATTTTGATATATCCAAAACTATAATACTAACATAAAGTTTTGAACTGCAGAATTGAAGCTGGAGAACTTGAAGGTACTCAAGCTTGAATATACAAATTTTAACAAACTCTCAGACGTTGAGGCTTTAACTTCTCTCAAAGCCTTATCTTTGTACGATATTGGTATTAATGATTCCTCCGTCCTTCAAGGTAATAAGATAGGCTGTGAAAGGCTCGGTTGCTTGCATGAAGTTGCTATTTACTTTTCAAATGTTGAGCTAGACCAGATGAAATTTGAAAACCAACATTTCAATTTTTTTGCGTGTAACATATGATTTCACGGTTTCTGAATTGGCTATGTATTGACAATTCATACCTAGCATCAACTATTACTGTATGAAAACCTTACAATGAACTTGGTTTTTGGACAGGAATTTGCAGTTTGAAGAATCTCCATGAACTTGACCTGAGTCGGAATAATTTTTACGGGCCTGTTCCCATGTGCTTCAGAAACTTGACATCTCTTCGACTTCTTGATCTCTCCAACAATATTCTCAGCGGAAACATCCCTGCAGCTCTCATTACTCCTCTCGTACACCTTGAGTATCTATCTCTCTCTGGCAACCTTTTTGGAGGTTCTTTTTCTTTCAGTTCTTTGGGCAACCATTCAAAGCTTCAGGGGTTCAAACTTGGACCTTTGAACAATGATTCACATGTCGACACTGAGGATCTTGCTCTGCCCCCACCATTTCAGCTAAAGGCTCTCTATTTATCTGGCTGCAACTTGAATAATCAGACTCGAAAAATCCCAAGTTTCCTGCTCTATCAGAAAGAAATGCAAAATCTTGATCTGTCTTCCAATAAGTTAGTGGGCCAGATTCCTACTTGGCTTCTGCAAAATAATACAAACTTGGAAGTTCTTGTTCTAAAGGATAACTCTTTTACGGGTCCGTTTCTTGTAGATGATTCTCTGGGAAAATATCTAAGTCAATTAGACATCTCAAACAATGACGTCAGTGGTAAGGTTCCCCAAAATATCGGTTTATCTTTTCCATTTCTGCAGCGGTTGAATTTGTCAGGAAATTCATTTCTGCAGTGGGGAACCTTACCACTGACGTCATTGTTTGAGATGTCTAATTGACTTAGATATTTTCCCAGAGAATCATCTACAAGAAACGGACCGTAAAAGAGTTATCCTTTAGAACAAGAACTTCCAAGTTTGTATTATTTTGCAGAAGCCAAGTAGGAATCTGGCCCACTAACTTATTGGAAGACAGATCAAGATTTTGCATTTCTTTCTGATAGAGCAGGAAACTTGGGATTTTTCGAGTCTGATTATTCAAGTTGCAGCCAGATAAATAGAGAGCCTTTAGCTGAAATGGTGGGGGCAGAGGAAATTCATCTCAAACGAGAAAAATGACGTCATTTGAAGTCATTGGGAAACTTGACATGGGCAGAATCAATTGATTTGTCCCACAACATGTTTTCAGGGGAGGTGCCAGGTCAAATTGGAACTGGATGTTTAGCCCTTACTATGTTGGTATTGTCTTATAATAATTTGCATGGCAATTTTCCTTCTGGGTCCACGAACTTAACAAGCCTAGAATTCCTTCACTTGGATAATAACCATTTTATTGGGAGCATTTCACATGGATTATCTCGTTCTCCAAGTTTATCTTTGCTGGATATTTCAAACAATTCTTTTCAAGGCAAAATTCCAAGTTGGATTGGAAATTTTTCATATTTGAATGGTCTTGACATGTCAGCCAACTTGCTAGAAGGTAGCTTACCAGATGCTATATGCAAACTTTCAGATCTTGAATTTTTAGACCTCTCCAAAAATCAGTTGATCGGACCTTTACCAGCTTGCTCCGAGCTTACGTCATTGAAGTTCATCCACCTGCATCACAACATGATCTCAGGGCCCATCTCAAACATGCTGTCTGGGAGCTTCAATTTGATGACACTCGATTTGGGTTACAACAAGCTGTCTGGCGGTATACCACGCTATATTGGTAAACTTAAAGAGCTCAGGGTCCTTCTATTGGGGGGAAATGAATTGCTTGGTCATATTCCTTTGCACTTATGTCAGCTGCAGAATGTGACAATTATGGATCTTTCTCAGAATAAGTTTTCTGGGCCACTGCCTACATGCTTCAACAAAATTTCTTTTGGCAGCGGGCAGTTCTCCAAAGATGCATTTTTTACCAATGACCCGTCTTTTCGTGAGAGTGAAAGGTTCCCAGGGTACCCTCGATCTCATTTTCTGGCTATGAAGATACGCTGGAGTGAGTATTATATAACCTTTTCCGACCAAGAAAATGTGATATTCACAACAAAACGTAGAAGCGAACGCTATGCAGGGAATATATTAAATTTCATGTCTGGACTTGATTTGTCGTGTAACCAATTGATTGGAGCGATTCCTCCTGAATTTGGTGATCTCAGACATATCCGGGCATTAAATTTATCCCACAACTACTTGCAAGGATCCATTCCCTCAAGACTTTCCATGTTGAACCTAGTAGAGAGCTTGGATCTTTCTTACAACAATTTCAGTGGCGAAATACCTTCAGAGCTGGCATCCTTGAACTTCTTGTCCATCTTCAATGTGTCATACAATAACTTGTCTGGCAGGGTACCTGATACAGGGGAGTTTGCAACCTTTGACGACAGCAATTATAGAGGAAATCCAGGTCTCTGCGGACCATTGCTCAAGAGAAGTTGTAACCCCTTTGCTCCACACCCTGAAAATGTTGGTGATCAAGACATAGAAGTTGATGGTGCAATTGATGTGGCAGCATTCTATTGGAGCTTTTTTGCTTCATATATGGTGATCGTGATTTCATTTGTGGTAATTCTTTGTGTTAGCCCTTATTATAGAAGAGCATGGTCTTTTTATATTGATTATTGGATCCTGTCGAGATTCTACGAGTATTGCGGGTCTCGTTCCTCAGAGAAAAAGCAAACATGGAAAGTGTTTAATTGGAACATGAGAAGGAGATGAATTGGTCCTAGTTACTCTATTGGGATTCTCGAAATTGGAACTATATGAGCTGAAATTCTGATGTCCAATATATTTTGCACTACAGTTTTTTTTTTCTCATATTTGCGGTTTAATTTTCTTTATTTGCACAATTACCATTTCTTTTCTGAATAGCCATAATTTTTTTGCCTAATTAATGTATGAAGATGAAAGCTTTGGAAAATTTTTAATTGGTCAAAAGAAAATGTATGATCAAGTTGCGATTTTGCAATACAAATAGCCAAATTGTACAGTCGCTCAACTTTTTGTTTGTCTTTTTCTAGCAGCGTAGGGAGAGGAGAGGTCAGAGGAGGATTAAAACTCAAAATCTTTATATGAAAATCACACTGGGTCAGGTGATAGATGAAAATAATCAATCAAAATACTGCTTAGGAGCTACTAGGGGTGGGCAAAATTATCCGCTAATCCGAAAATCCGTCATATCCGATCCGATCTGATCCAAAAATTAGGATATCCGATTTTTATTATTTGATCGGGTCAAAAGAGGGTCGGGTACCCGCTAAGATGTGGGGCGGATTAGGGTCACATAATTGAAAACCCGCGGGTACCCGATCCGCCCCGCATATATATATATATATTTTTATTTTATTTTTATACACACACTATAAAATAATAAGTTAGAACTAAATAAGTAATATTATTGAACAAATTGCATTACAAATATGAGAGACTATAGTTTATTTACAAGATTCATTTGTAGAGGCCATGATCTTATATTTTATAAAAAAAAGTTTAATTAATGTGGAACATATATATTAAAAATTGTGCTCCTTATTTCAAAATTTTATTGATTTTGAATTCTTTTAATTTTTTTTCTTTATCTTATATTCCCTTCACATGCTTGTTTCTTGGTGGGAAGCCCTTTTTTAGAAAAAAAAAATTATTAAATCTTAGATGAATGTGTAAAATATAAAATTAAATTGGTATAAATCATTTTTTTTTAAAAATTAATGATAAATGAGGTGGGGCGAGTACCCGCTGACCCGACCCTATCTAATCGGGTACCCGCTGATATGCGGGGCGGGTAAGGGTCAGAAAATGGCTGACCTGCAAGGTGCGGGTTGGGTCAGTCAAATGGTGAATGGGGCGGGTACTCGACCCGCGCCCACCCCTAGGAGCTACCCCAAGAAGCAAGTTTACTCGGCAATAACCACCTCATTCGGCACCGAAGTTGCCTGGCCAGAACATCCGCCTCGGTTAAACAGTCAATCTTTCTTTGCTGCCTGTTGACCATACTTTTTTGTTTTTCCTTGAATTATACTGAAGTTCAATCCATAATATACCCTGACGAAAATGAACCACCCAAATCTTGAAATAATTTGTTTAAATTTGACTCACAAATATGCTTGCCATAAATTGCCCTGAAGAAAATGATTATTCTAGTCTTGAAACTTTTTTTTTGGTGGGTTCGGTTTCTGTCATCTTCACGATTTAAAATATGCCTTCGGAATCATGACAGCGGAATTTGAACACACGATTTTTTGTAAAAAAGTAACACGTTTTTGTCAACTGAGCCAACTTATTATTCTTGAAACTAACATGTTGAGTTTGAGCTTTTAAATTAGACTCGTTGATGTATCAAGAGATGGTTTTGAATAAACAGGGGTAGAAATTTTGTTTGAAACGGTTGTGCACTTTCCACTTTTTGATGAGAAATTTTCTTCCCAACTAAAATGATCCTTATAAAGGTAGTGGCTTAACTCAACTCGAGTATGAGTAACTTGATTAAAGGCTCTAACAGAGCTCGGGCCAAAGTTATTTGTGAATATAGTTTTGTACCTTCGTTAGTCATTATCCCCAAGTGCAATTAAATTCATTTTCAAAAAAGATCATAGTTATATAGACAAGGTCAATTAGAGAACATGAGATGTACGATAGGTGCTCAATTGATTTTCAATTTAACTTCGAGCCAAAAATATAAGTCTAGCTTCACTTGATCAAGTCTAAGCTCGACTCGCGGATTTGCAACCTTACATTTGAGTTGACTTGTACAGTAGTCTTCACTACATCATTTGGTACGCAACTGGGATCGGGTTTGTCCTAATACTTGCCTTCCAAAGGGGAAGGCAACATCTTTGTCCAGTTCGTTTGTCTTTGCACCCCAATTTGGACAGTTTGGCACTAAATTAAGGAGTCATTTTCCGTAGGCCAGATTTACTCAGCAAGAAATTTCTTGTCAAAGACACGTAAACGGCAACAATAATGAATAAACTATTCCAATGTAAAGTAGAGGGGAAGGCAACATCTTTGTCCAGTTCATTTGTTCCCTCGTACTTTGCACTCCAATTTGGGCAATATAGCACTAAATTAAGGAGTCATTTAAAACAAAAAAAAGGATTCATTTTTAGTAGACCAGATTGACTCAACAAGAAATTTCTCATCAACGACACGGAAACAGCAACAATAATAAATACACTCGAAATTATTGATGCAATATAAGGACTTTGATAAGTATAATCATGTAAAAACCTCAATAGCTGCTTCTCAATGCACCAAAAATTGTACCCAAAAAATAAAAGAAATTAGCCGTGCAACAAAAAAGGTAGGAGAAGACGAGCATTTTCCATGTACATGTGGAATAATCCACATTTTGGCGCATGGAAAATGCAATGACTGAACAAAATATAACACCGTTTTAACCACAATGTAATTTACAACAAAAGACGTATATAATTTTGTAAAAAGATGTTGTACATGTGGGTTCATACATATTTATTGTGTCAGTAACCTTTTTTTAGCCTCTACATTTTGAATTTGTATTTTGTTGGCATATTTTGGACCGCAAATAGGTGGATATCATAATTCAAGTTGTAAGACTTGTGGAGGAGTGGTTGCAGAGTGTAGCCCTACTAGTAATAACCCCAACTTGAAGAAAAGTAATATAGGATGAATTAGTCAAATGAGACTTATTCAACTAGCTAGTAAATAATGTAATATTTCTAATCAGATATAGTATTAAATTGTTACATCCATGATTGTGTCACATTTTATCACAGAGGATGGAAAATTCTTTGTCTCCGGCCAATATCTCTTCTAAGTTTGGTCCATGAGGATAATGGATTATTCTCAGTCATTTACTTATTTTAGGTTCCGTTTAATAAAACTGAATCTGAATTCTGAAGTCTAAATTCTAAATTCTGAATACTGAAACAATTAATTTGCTGAAATTTAAGCACTGAAAAAAATATGAATATCTGAATTTAAATGCTAAACCTATTTATACGGTTTGATAAATATTTATAGCTGAATGCTTAATAAGTTTAATTTGATAATTTTGCCCTTATATCCTTTCATTCAAAAAAGAAATAGAATCTATAATTTAATTAGTTTAAAGTTGTAAGGTATGAAAATGACAATATTTATTTTTAAATCAAATTAATATAAAAGATGAAATATATTATATGAGTATGGAGAAGATGTGAAAGTCATTAAAAAGGGAGAAAAGAGAAACTAAAAATCATTAGATAGAGAATATTAGGTTATTTAATTAAATAAGAATTTTGAACATAATTAACAAACAATGGTAGATTTGGTAGATATGATAAGGTAGTTGAAGTAATTCTATTGATTCTTATCAGAATTAAGCATTCAGTTAGGATTCTTGTACTGAAAAAAAATACACACAAGTTTAGCAAATAGATTTTCATTTATCAAACACTCAAAACATCTGAATATTTGAAAAAATTCAGATTCAACACTTTTTTATGTTATCAAACAAACCTTAATATTTTAATTGTAAAAAAATTATAAGGTAAATTCTCATGAGTCTTTATTTATCTCTTACTCTCGTAACGATACAATTTAGTCTCTTACATTTAAAATGAACTTACTTTTATCTCAAAATGTATGTCACATCAACTTTTGGCATCTTGTGCTCGTGATACTAATTTCGAGGGACAGAAAAGGTATCACATCTCATTCTTGCTGATTTGACTCATTAAACTTACAGAATTTGGTATTTGAAAATTAATTTTTTTTTCTTAGCATGTATTGGCCTGATGAAAATCAGTAGATCTCTAGCCTCGAAACGTACTTATGTTTGAGATCGTAAAGCTACCGATTTTTGTACCCCAAAAAAAAAAGGCTACCGATTTGCCCTATAAATCAGAATCACTAATCTATGAACAGATGCTTGAGGATTTGAAGAAAAGTTTTGTTTGAATCACTAATCCATTTTAGAATGAGGATTTCTCTTCCCAACTTAATATTGAGCCTATTTTTAGTAGTGACTTAGCACGACCAAGCTCAAGCAACTTGAAAACACTCCAACCAAGCATGTTCCAAGAAATTCGATCCTGGGCTCGTCTAAGATAATAATATATACACATTCATTTTGTTTACCATATTCACAATGGGGAAATGACAATTAAATTCATTTTTCTAAAACTTTATAGGAGTAGATATTATCTCTCTTTATTTGAGCACGATTGCGCTCCTACTCTTATTTTTTCTTTATTTGTAGTTAGGATTGAAAGATTAACCAAATTACTTGATATTCGAATCGAGTTCGATTTGGTAAAAATTTGTTCAAGTTTGGTTTGCCAAGTAATCAAACTAAACTTGGACAGTATTTTATATTCGATAGCTTTCAAACTCGATAAAATACTTGTTTAAACTCAATTTGATGAATAAACAAACCAAACTTGAATAAAATTTCAAACTTATTAAAATAATCAAACAAGTTTGAACAATATAGTGTTCAACTTGATTAATTTCGTTTACACCTCTATTGGTGATATGCTAGGTGGGGTTTGAACTCCACGGACCTAGTATTGGACCAAGTCCCAACGATTGGTTAGGCTTCTACTCTTTTTTTTTTCTACCGCAATGATAATATTCCTACATCCTAATCTATTATATTTTACAGGGAGGAAAAGGCTAAAGAGACGATATAAGGGGCTAGGATGCGTACAAATTTGACTAGACTAGATGAATGTTCTGTGACCTTATTTGAATTTGTGTCGCTACAGGTCGAGTTAGGCTTCTGCTCAAGCCTCAAGTTCTAAGAAAAGCTATAAGGTAGGGGGCACGAAACCTATGTTTTCAGAATCGGACCGGATAGTGACTCGGCCGAGATCAGGGGTCAGGGGTCAATGGGTTCGACCGGAGGTCGATAGAGGTCGAACTGGATGATGTCATAAATAAAAATTATTTAA